ACCCCAGATACTCACAGTGACCCCTGATTGTGGCTGAAGCTGGGAGCTGGGGACTTGGTGCAGTTCTCCCACGTGTGTGTCAGGGACGTAGCCACTGGAGCTACCACTGCTGCCCCCTGGGATCTGCATCAGCAGAAAACTGGAATCGGGAGCCGGAGCCAGGTGTCAGATTCAGGTACTCTGATGTGGGATGCAGGCGTCTTAACTGGTGTCCTACCCATTGGGCTGAATGCCCAGCCCTGGCCACACTAACTTAGAGAGGTCAGGGAAGGCCTTGCTGATGAGGTGTAGCTTGGGCAGAGACCCAGTGAAGTGGTGGGTGTGAGCCATAAACTCATCAGGGGAAGTGTGTTCCAGGCAGGAGGAAGAGCAAGCAAAGGCTCTGAGGCCAGACCAAGGCGATTTGAGAGAATAATGCAATACTAAGGCTTTGAATGAAGGTACGTCCACAGTACTAAGGCAAATCTAGTTATCCTTGGGCAACAGAGAATTCCTCAGTGACCTGAGCCAGGTTGAAAGGGAGACATTGATGCATCTTAGGATCAACAGGGGCCCCTCCTTCATCCCTGTGACCTCCATCCTTCTCTCTCCCAACCCCATGTCCTGGAGCCCCTGGGAGAGCACCGGCAACTGCAGCATCTGAGAATCTTCTGCCTCCAGCTCCGGGGCCTCTGGTTTCAGCGGAAGAGCTTTGCACGCTCCTGAGCTCAGCTCGACTACATCCTTGCCTCTCTGTGTTTGGAGCGTGGGGGGCAGAGCTGTCTGGCTCACTGAAGAACGGAGCAGAGCAGGCAGAGCAGAAGGGGTTTATGTTGCAATTACCCAAGATCGCCGGGGCAGTCTGCGGGCAATCGGGTAATTAGCGCATGTATGTAAGGGGACAATTACCTGGCTCACTGGCTGCCAGTCGCTTGTCACTGCTCTCTGACCCTTGAGCTGGGTTTCTGGCTCTACATGCGGACTATTAAGTGTAATGACCCTGTCATGCAGGGGAGCCTGTCATTATCTCCGTGTTAACACGGTATTTATCCAGCAGAGCCTGCCAAGTCATGCTGTAATTAAAGGGCCTCCACGTGGTGCCCCTGCCCTGGCTCTGGACAGCTGTGAAAGCGGTCAGGCCAAGGGTAGCTTGATTTTATTTATTTGGAAGAGAGGGTGACAGAAAGAGACGGAGAGACATCGCCCATCCACTAGCTCATTTCCCAGATGCCCACAACAGTTGGAACTTCAACTGTTGAGCAGAGCCAGGACTCAAATCCAGGCATTCCGACGTGGAGTGCAGGCATCCCAAGTCCCATCCTAACCTCCACAACAAACACCCACCCGCCGGGTGGCTTCAAGACTGAGAAGATGGTCTTGGGGCCGGCGCTGTGGCCTAATGAGTTAGGCCACCACCTGCAGCCCCAGCATCCCGTACAGGCACCAGTTCAAGTCCCGGCTGCTCTGCTTCTGCTCCATCTCCCTGCTAATATGCCTGGGAAAGCAGTGGAGGATGGCCCAAGTGCTTGGGTCCCTGCACCCGCGTGGGAGACCTGGAGGAAGCTCCTGGCTCCTGGCTTTGGCCTGGCCCTGACCTGGCTATTGCAACAATTTGCGGAGTGAAGCATTGGATGGAAGATCTCTTTCTCTCTCTCTCCCTCTCTCCCTCCCTCACTCCCTCTCTCCCCTATAACTCTGCCTTTTAAATAAAAAAAAAAAAAAAAAAAAAAAAAAAAAAGACTGAAGAGATGGTTTTGAGCATTTGAGGCTGAGCGGGAAGTGTCTGAGCAGTCCCCCTGTTTCTCCTCCCTCCCATCACCAGAGCCTGGGACCAGGTGTCCCAGCAACAAGATTTTAGGGGCGTTGAGACCCTCTCCCCAAGTCAGGCACGTTTCACAGGGGGCCAACTCACTGACAACCGAGGAAAACGAAAGCCTACTTTAACATTTCGAAAGTCGCTCCCTCTTCCTAAGGTGCTCATGGCGCTGGTAGACAGGGGGCCCAGCTCCAGCACAGGCAAACCCCTGCAAGTCCTCGGTCGCTCTTACTCTCCACTTCCTGGTCTCTCCTGGACGTCCCGCCCTTTCTGCAGGCCTCGCCTGCCTTGGGGGCTCTGGGCTGTTTGTCACAAGCAGTTCTAAATCTGCTGATGAAAATCAAATTTTCCCTTGGCCTCTTCCCATTTTCCTCCCTCCCTGGCCTTGTCATAGCCACAAACAGAAGCCCCTTGAAAGAGTTGAAGGAACAAAGCTGTGATGACTCATGGGTCAGCATTTGCCTCTGTTGCCTAAACAGTGCTGTTATGAGCATCTTTATACAAATGCAAGGGTACTTCAAAAAGTTCATGGAAAATATAATTGAAAGATAAGTTTTATTTTATCGCAAAATTCTTTGAAATCTATGTATAGTTTTTTCATAGTATTCATCTTCCATGACCTTTTTGAAGAACCCTTATATGTACAATTTTAATTTTTGGCAGCAAAATAAACATCTTTAATTTCATTTTCCATGAACTTTTTGAAGTATCCTGTTCCTTTCCACACAGATACAGACTTTTCTGTAGGGTGAGAGTCCTAGACTTGGAGTCCCTGAGTGCCAATCCTTTCCTCTGAAAAGTGCTGTCACTTGCTCCTGAGAGGTTGTGCCTTCTAAGTCCCCACTAAGTTGATTGGAACCACCGTGTCGCTGTGCTGTGGACTGAACAGAACCTGTTCCCGGAATCATGCAGACGTGTGAACCCCTGAACCCCACCATCTTCCGTTCATGGCAAATGGATGAATGCTCCCGGTGAGGGGTCAGGGAGGTGGCTGGGTCCAGTGACAGCCCCGGCACTGGGCCCTGGGGGAGTGATTGGAGCGGGGTGCGTGGCTGGGGCGGTGCCTGGTGATAGACGCTTGGAAAGACCACAAGGATGGTCAAGGAAGAGAATTCCTTCCGTATCTCTGCTTCCTGGCTCGCCGCGTGATCGCTCGGCATCTGCTCCACCACGGCTGGCCTCCACCAGGCGTCAGACCAGTGGAGCCACCTGATCTTGAATTGTGAACCTCCAAACTGTAGGCTGAAATCAACCTTTTCCTGCCGAGTAATTGAGTTAAAATAATGAAAAGCTGACTCAAACACTCCACATCCAGGTCAACTTGTATCGCCCTTCCTTTGTACAGTTAGCTGTTGCTTTCTGATGATATACGTGATGTGTAATAAAAGTGGAAATGCAGAAGAGGCTAAGAGAGAATAAAGGTAAAAACCCTGCCCATTTATATTCTTTTTTCTTAAGCTTTATTTATTTATTTGAAAGGCAGTGACAGGAGAGAGAAAGAGATCCTCCATCTGCTGCTGGTTTGCTCCCCGGTTGGCTGCCATAGCCAGGACTAGGCCAGGAGCCTAGAACTCCACATCGGTGGCAGGGAACCAAGCACCGGGCCAACCTCTGCTGCCTTCCCGGCAGCATTAGCAAGAGCTGGATCAGAAGTGGAGTAGGGGCTAACACTGTGTAGTGGATGAAGCTGCCATCTGCGGTGCCAGCATCCCGTATGGGAGCCAATTTGAGTCCTGGCTGCTCCACTTCTGATCCAGCTCTCTGCTGTGGCCTGGGAAAGCAGTGGAAGATGGCCCAAGTCCTCTGGTCCCTGCACCCACGTGGGAGACCCGGAGGAAGCTCCTGGCTCCTGGCTTCAGATCAGCCCAGCTCTGCCTGTTGTGGCCATCTGGGAAGTAAAATGGGAGATGGAGGATCTCTCTCTCTCTCTCTCTCTGCCTCTGTCTCTCTGTAATTCTGCCTTTCAAATAAATAAATAAATATTTTTTTTTTTTTTAAAAGTGAAGTAGGTGGGACTCAAACTGGCACTTCTAGAACTGACACTCTCCCATATGGGATACCAGTTGCAAGTGGCGGCTTCACCTACTGCACCACAATCCCAGCCCCAAAACACGGCCCATGTTTATAGAAGACAACAGCAAGAGCTGCGGGCAGCCAAGGAACTTTCTGGAATCTCTAGTACTAGTAACAGAGTGCTAAAGATCATTCAACTATGTGTCAATTAAAAATAAAAAATAGGGGCACAGTGGTTAAGTTGCTTGGGATGCCTGCGTCCCACACCAGAGTGCTTGCGTTTCGCTCCTGACTTCACTCCCAGTACCAGCTCCCTGCCAACGTGCACCTGGGAAGCAGCAGGTTCAAGTAGATGGATTCTTGCCACCCATGTGGGAGACCTGGATTGGGTTCTGAGCTTCTGGCTTTAGCCTGGCCCAGGCTGTTTCAGACATGTAGGGAGTGAGCAGGTAGATGGAAAAATCTCTCCATCTATAGCTCTTTCTCTCTCTGCCTTTCAAAAAAATTTTTAAAAAAACACCTTGAGAAGCCGGCGCCGTGGCTCAATAGGCTAATCCTCCACCTTGCGGCGCCGGCACACCGGGTTCTAGTCCCGGTTGGGGCGCCGGATTCTGTCCCGGTTGCCCCTCTTCCAGGCCAGCTCTCTGCTATGGCCAGGGAGTGCAGTGGAGGATGGCCCAGGTGCTTGGGCCCTGCACCCCATGGGAGACCAGGAAAAGCACCTGGCTCCTGGCTCCTGCCAGGATCAGCGCGGTGCGCCGGCTGCAGCGGCGGCCATTGGAGGGTGAACCAACGGCAAAGGAAGACCTTTCTCTCTCTGTCTCTCTCTCACTGTCCACTCTGCCGTGTCAAAAAAAAAAAAAAAAAAAAAAAAAAAAAAAAACACCTTGAGATGCTTTCTTGGGCTGATGGAGACTGTACGCTTAGGGAGATGGGCCCAGGTTTCCACACCCCTGAAATGTGTCCCCCCTTCTAAACAGTCTGTTGCCGGGAAGACTGCAGTCTGAGGATTTGTGGAGCAGGAAAGGAGTGCAAACATTCCAAAAATGTGTTTCCAGACATCAGCAGCTGGATCCAACAGATTGGAAAGCCATCTCCCTGGCCAAGCCCGGAGCCAAGTTTCCGTTTCTCAGGGACCCTGACATGCCCCGTTAAGCCTCTGCTCTCACGACTGCTCTGCTTTCTGTTCCAGGGACCTGAACTATAATGAGCTGCAGGAGTTCCCCGTGGCCATCCGGACCCTGGGCAGACTGCAGGAACTGTAAGCTCCTCTGCTGGTTTCTGTGGGTGTCCTCACCCCTCAAGGATGGGGGCTGCAGCCAGCCTGGGCCAGCTCCCTTGTGCCCTCACCTCCCCATCTCCCGTGGTTCTTGCAAAAGCCGTAGCTGTGCGAAGTCCCTGGGGCAGCTCTAAGTAGTCACAGGCCTCATTAGCTTGACTTTGAACATTTCCTACGGGTGTGTCACCAACAGAAATGGCCCTGGGCCTTCCAGCCCAGGAAGACACATGGCACAAGCCACTTCCTGCAGCCTGCGCCTGGCACTGCTCCCACCTCAGCGGGGTGTGTCCAGAGAAGAATGAGGAGAGGAACTGGGGGCTGGTGTACACAGCCACTCCTCAGCACCTTCTGCCTGGGGGCCTGAGAAGTTGCCTCTGCTTTCCCACAGCCACTATTGGCCATTCCATTTCAGTCTTCACTGGGCACCCCGGATGCCCAGGGCATGCTGGTGCTGAACACAAAGGGTAAGACAGACACGGCCCTCCCCCAGGTTCCTTCAGTTTTGCCAAGGACACAAAGTAACCCGTGTAAAGCAGGAGACAGCACAAACAGGCTATCATGGTGCCCCTAAAAGTTAGTAGTCGCAGCATAGGAAGATGACTGTGGAGTGATGCACCCTGAGACAGATGCTGAAGGGTAAGCAGGGGAGGAAGAGAGGGATTCCAGACAGACAGGGCAGATGATGATGCAAACAGAAGCTGAGTTGGGGATGGTCACCAGAGGGAGGCCAGCCCGCCTGGAGAGGACACTCTCGGGGATCTAGGAGACCTATTACAATGCTAGAGTGAGACCAGATTAAGGTGGCCTGCACACTCATGCAGGGTCCCCAGCTTTTAGGCAGCACAGAATCTTTATATGCACCACGGAAGACCTACAGCACCAGCCCCATGCCACCCTCCTTTGAAGGTACGAATGTCAGATGTGGGCAGCAGATAATAACAGCCAGGGACGGAGCAGACATGTGGCACAGTGGGTTAAGCTGCCACTTGGGACGTCCACATTAGAGAGCCTGGTTTGAGTCGTGGCTGCTCTGCTTCCGGTCTAGCTTCCTGCTAATGCACCTGGGAAGCAGCAGATGATGGCGCAGGTGTTTGAGTTCCTGCCACTCACATGGGAGGCCTGGCTCCTGAAGACACTGGGGAATGAGCTAGCAGATGGAAGATCTCTCTCTCTCTCTCCCTCTCTCTCTCTGTCATTCTGCCTTTCAAATAATGAATTTTAAAAATGAGCAGCTGGGCCACCTGGAAGAAAGGGTGTGAATGAGAAACTACTGGGAGTCCTCTACTGCCCGTGAGTCACCAAGGTCTGATATTTTTCCCTTTGAGCTAAAACATGAGAAGAAGGGAATCTGAGCAATCCAGAAGGCACCAATGGAACGGGGTATGCAGACGCATTAGGGAAGAAAAAGCAGAGACCTCCGTCAGCAGGAGTGAGAAGATACACATATGGGGGGTGTGTGAGTGTGTATGTGTCCGTCCATCCATCCACCCATCCATGCATCTACCATCCATACATCGACACATACATACATACGTACATACATATATCCACCCACCCATACATACATACATACATACATATATCCACCCACCCATACATACATACATATATATATATCCACCCACCCATACATACATATACGCATGCATCATATACCCATTCATACAAACTTCCATCCAACCATCTACCCATCTACCCACCCGTCAATCCACCAATCCATTCATCCATCCATATGTCCATCCATTCACCTACTCATCCTTCACCAAGCCATCATCCACCCATCCATCCATCCATCCCTCTTACCCACCCATCATTCAGCTGTCATCCAAACATTTATGTTTCTTTTTTTTTTTTAAGAATTATTTTATTTATTTGAAGGAGTTATAGAGAGAGGTAGAGCCAGAGAGAGAGAGGTCTTCCATTCTGCTGGTCACTCCCCCAAATGACTGCAATGGCCAGAGCTGAGATGATCTGAAACCAGGAGCCAGGAGCTTTTTCTGGGTCTCCCACGCAGGTGCAGGGGCCCAAGGATTTGGGCCATCTTCTCCGCTTTCCCGGGCCATAGCAGAGAGCTGGATTGGAAGAGGAACAGCTGAGACTCGAATTGGCGCCCATATGGATGCTGGTTCTGCAGGCTGGGGCTTTAACTCACTGTGGCACAGTGCCAGCCCCCAAACACTTATGTTTCTTTCAATGAACAATTAAGGAAAAGCTGCTTGAGCAGGGGCCTCTGTCTTACAAATTTCTAAATTTCTCAAGGCTTGGCCCAGCAATTGATAAAAGAAAGTGTTTGAAAAAATATGAGTGACTCAGAGGTCATTATGTAAGTGAGATAAGCCGAGCCTAGAAAGACAAGCACCAGGGGCCAGCGCTGTGGCATAGCGGGTAAAGTCACTGCCTGCAGTGCTGGCATCCCATATGGGTGCTGGTTCAATTCTTGGCTGCTCCATTTCTGATCCAGCTCTCTGCTATGGCCTGGGAAAGCAGTGAAAGATGGCCCAAGTCCTTGGACCCCTGCACCCGTGTGGGAGACCCAGAGGAAGCTCCTGGCTTCTGGCTTCAAATCAGCATAGCTCTGACTGTTGCAGCCATCTGGGGAGTGAAATGGCAGATGGAGGATCTCTTTTTCTCTCTCTCTCTCTCTGCCTCTGCCTCTCTGTAACTCTGCCTTTCAAATAAATAAATAAATCTTAAAAAAAAAAAAAAAAAAAAAGAAAGACAAGCACCACCTGACCTCATTCACATGTGGGGTCTACGTGAGTTGACGTCATGGGAGTTGAATGTAGAATGGGGGCTGGGGAGTAGGGACCAGGCAGAGAGGGACAGTGAAAGGTTGATTGGTGGGGACTCAGTTCTAGTTAGATAGGAGAGAGGAGTTATGAGGTTCTGTGGGGCAGTGTAGGGTGGCTGTGAGTGATGATATGCCATCTCTCTCTCTTTATATGTATATATATGTATGTATATATGAATTTTCAATGTTTTCACCATAAAGAAAGGGCATATATTTGAGGAGGGAGATATGACTACCCTGAGTTGGACATTACACATGTATACATGTGGTAAAACGTCACAGGGCACCATATAAATATGTATAATTTTTATGTATCGGTTAAATTTTTAAAAATTAAAAGCGTAATGCATAAAAAGAAGGGACAAACGAATGAATGAACAAGCAGGCCCAGGAGGGTGGCATTGGCTGGGGGTGTCCAAGGTGAGGCGTGAGGGAGAGAGCACGAAGGTGCGAATAGTGGTGGGACAGCAGGAGGACGAGCCAGGTGGGCAGAGGCAGGGCGACGCAGAGAGCAGCCGGAAACCTGCCTGAGCGCAGGTGAGTGAGAGGGGCCCAGCACAGGTTAGGCGCTTTCCCCCAACGTGTTTTCTTCTGAAACGTTCATCCCAACACACCAGACACAGAATTCCTGGCTTCCTGCCTTGGCGGGATGTCTCCTTCCCCCTCTCCCCAGCACTCCACCCACCCCCAGATTCGGGCCTGAGCCCTCCCGCCATGATGGACACTCCTAGGCTTCTTCATCTCGGGGACTCCACGAGAGGAGTCTCCCAGGGGGTCCGCTTTCCTTCCTGCATGGCCCCCTCTGTGGGACCCACCTGGGCTCCTGCCACCAGTGACCAAGGAGAGGGTACCCCCTTGGGCCCGGATCCAGCCTCTTGCTCTGGAGTTGCTCTCCCAGGCTTCCTGAGGCCTGCAGCCCGGGGTACCACTGCTCACTCTTCCCCACCTGTTAGGGGGCAGGAGGGGTGTGTGTGTTGTTGTACAAGAAGACAAGCCCCAGGCAGGACTGGAGCCTGGGACCCCCGGCTGGCGTCCCTTTGGTCCTACGGCCTGTCTGGTGGGCTGTCTGAAAGCCCCGTGGAGTCCCTGCCATTCCACACTCCCATCCAAGCCCTCACTGCCCCCTGGGTGCTGTCTTCCAGAGGATTCCACAACAACAACATCAAGGCTATTCCAGAAAAGGCCTTCGTGGGGAACCCTCTGCTGCAGACCATGTGAGTGGCTCTCTGGGCTCCTGGTGCTGAGTGGTGTTTGGGGAGGACAGCAGCGGGGGAGGCAGGAGTGGACGAGGGGTGGCCTTCCTCTCAGTGGTCTTTCTGGGGTCTCCCCTGGGAAGAGAAGAAAGCAGAGGATGGTCCTAGCTGAAAGGGATGAAAAAGGGAACTCAGGGTTTGGTTCTTTTTTGCAGACACTTTTATGATAACCCAATCCAGTCTGTGGGAAGGTCGGCGTTCCAGGACCTGCCGAAGCTGCACACACTGTGAGTTGGCACCGGGAGGCCACCAGGGTCTGGATCTCTGCTCCCCCCGCCCGCTGCCCCACTCCTTCCCACGCTCCTGCTGCCCACCTGCCAGTCTCTCCCTGCACAGCTCACCCCCCCTGGAGGCAACGTGTTCTTCAGGGCCACAGGCCTCCACTTGGCTCAGACCAATCCCCAGAACTGTCTGGACTCCATGGCCTCTGTCCACCCACCAGCTCTCGCGTTGAAGAATGAGACCCTTCTCCGTGGTCTTTGCTGGCCTCTGCTTTCCTCCTGTTCCTGGGAGCAGCAGCCATTCCATAAGTAGCTGCTGGAAGGCCCAAGGCTGGTTTCCCAAGGCCTTGCAACACAGACCCCTTTGGTGCTTGCTGTGCCGTCCTAATGCACCTTTGTTTCCCCTCCCCCATTCTTTTAATCCCCACCCCAGTTCCCACTTCCTGGTGCCTTGCTCTCCGCCTACCAGAGCGTCAACACACAACCAATACTCCAAAGCACAGGCTTCACTTTCAGGTTCATGGTCACATTTTGTCTTCATCTAACCCTGGAGGTAGGCGCTCTCAGTCCATTTCACAGACAGCAGCTGAGGCCCTCCAATCCTGATCAGGCGTGAATGCAGGTCCCTCCGCTCCCAGCACCCCAGGCTCATCGCTGCACCTCACACAGCCTCCTGGGGGTCTTTGACACGTTCCTGTTGCATGCAGGCTCTGTGCAAAGGAAAGATGGGGAAGGGAAAGCCAGCAACCTAAAGCAGGTTCAGAAAACTGATGGGGCGCTAATTAACCCCAGCCGATGACAACGTGGGGCCCACCTGATGTCAGGCTCTAAGAAGCAAACCCTAGCAGCCAGGGCCTTTTTAGAAGCACAGAGGCCTTGGCTGTGTTGTTTTGCAGCCTGAGGCTTGAGTGATGAAGTTGCCTGGTTCTATCTGGGGTTAGCATTGGCTGGGCCAACTTAAGAAAATGGCTGGGGCCAGTGCAGGTGCAACAGTTAAGATGCCACTTAGGATGCTGCATCCCATATCACAGTACCTGGGCTCAAGTTTTGGTTCTGCTTCCAGTGCCAGCTTCCTGCTAACACACGTCCTGGGAGGCAGCAGGTGTTGTCTCAGTAGCTGGGTCCATGCCACCTGTTCAGGGGACGCAGATGGAGTTCCTGGCTCCTGGGTTTGGCCTGGCCCAGCCATGACTGTTGGGAGCATTTGAGGAGTGAACCAGCAGATGGGAGATCTGTCTGTCTGTCTCTGTATTTAAAAAAAGATTAAAAAAAAAAAAAGGAAAAGAAGAAAGCTGCTAAGCATGGCTCACCCTCCACCTGGGCTGGAGAGGTTGATTTGAGAGAGGTTGGGGTGGAGTCCCTGAGAGGGGAGAAGACAGAGGCCGAGCGCCCAGGGTGGTGGTGCGCTGACCCTGCCCCTCAGAGCTGCTTGTCTATGCTTCCAGATCCTTGAATGGTGCCACGGATATCCAGGAGTTCCCCGATCTCAAGGGCACCACCAGCCTGGAGACCCTGTGAGTGAGTTCTCTTCCTCCACCTGCTCCGTCTCCACAGCCTCACCCCTGCAGCTCTTGCCACCCCCTTGCACTCCACTTCCCTCATCTGCTGGGGGCTCCTGGGCCTACACCATCTCCTTATGTGGCTTTGCCTGCAGATAAGGCCAGGGGTAGCCGGGGAGATGGGAGTGAGAAGGCTGGGCCTTCTCCCTGGGATTTTTCAGGGATGTGTTCAAGGTTCCTGACCTCGAGCTGCAGGTGCATGGAGGACCCGTGATGGGGAAGGAAGGGCCCATGGCCTTTCTGAACCTTGATTCCCCAAAAGCCATTTTCATATTTTCTATAACATTCTGTAGAGTGAGGGAAGGGATGCCAGAGCATAGTAGACCCCCAATGCCTGTTTTTAAAAGATTTATTTATTTATTTGAAAGGCAGAGTTACAGAGAGGCAGAAGCAGAGAGAGAGAGAGAGAGAGAGAGAGAGAGAGGTCTTCCATCTGCTGCTTCACTCCCCAAATGGCTGCAACATCCGGAGCAGAACCAATCCGATCTGAGGCCAGGAGCCAAGAGCTTCATCCAGGTCTCCCATGTGGGTACAGGGATCCAAGCACTTGGGCCATGCTCTGCTGCTTTCCCAGGCACATTAGCAGAGAGCTGGATTGGAAGTGGAGCAGCTGGGACTCGAACTAGTGCCCATATGGAACGCTGATGTTGCAGGCCGGGGCTTTAACCTGCTGTGCCACAGCACTAGCCCTGATTCCTTTTTTTTTTTTTTTTAAGATTTGTTTATTTGAAAGTCAGAGTTACACAGACAGAGAGATCTTCCATCCACTGGTTTACTCCCCAGACTAGGGCTGGGCCAGGTCAAAGCCAGGAGCCAGGAACTTCATCTGGGTCTCTCACATGGGTGGCAGGAGCCCAAGCAGTTGGGCCATCCTCCGCTGCTTTCCCAAGGATATTAGCAGAGAGCTGGATCAGAAGCAGAGAAGCCAGTGCACGAACCAGTGCCCACATGGGATGCCAGCATTGCAGGTGGCAGCTCCGCCCACTACACCACAGCCCCAGCCCCCCTTGGTGCCTTTTACATGAATGAATGAGGAGGGTGGGTGTGCGGAAAAGCCAACTGTCCCGCCCCACGACCCACGACCCCTTTCTGGCATTGCTAGGGCTGGAATTCTCTGGGCCTCTATTGTCTTCCCCTGGATTCGCTGGCACATGGAAAATTTCATCCCCAAGGGATGACCTTGGCCTCGAGTCTTTCTGGGGACACCCTGTCCCTAAGCCAAGCCCATGTTCCAAGCTGCCCCCATGTCCCTGGCCACTCTGCCCCTGCTCCTCCCTCCTTTCCCTACTTGTCTTTCTCCCCTAGGGCACAGGGAGAAAGCTCTGGGCTTCATTCCCATGGCCCCACTGGGGCTGTGTCCTCTGCTCCCTGCCCCAGCCATCCCTCCTCTCCAAGTCCCCTAGAGCAGAGAGGAGGTGGTCCCTGTGTCACAGGCCCAGTGCTGCTGGAGCCCATTCCGGGACATGGGGTGGGGACAGAGCAGGGTAGGTGGGGCAGGGCTGGGCCTGCAGGACCTGTCCCTCTGCACTCCCTGCCCCCAGCCCCCTGCTTCTCACCCCTCCCCCGCCTGCCTCCTCTCTGTCATGGCAGCCCCACCCCCTGCCCAGCTCTGTTCTCCCAGAACTGGAGACGGGTGGCTGGGAATGGCAGGGCCCTGGGCCTTGTACCAGCTCTGTGTCTGTTCTCCCGGCAGGACCCTGACCCGTGCAGGCATCCGGCTGCTCCCACCAGGGCTGTGCCAACAGCTGCCCAGGCTCCGGGTCCTGTGAGTGACTCCCAAGCATTCTAGAGTCTTGGCGCTGGGCCCCCGCCCCTCCAGCAAAGAAGGCCTCCCCGCTTCTGTTGCACTTGGTCACACCTCGTTCTGAAGAGTGGGGTGGCCTAGGCTCCTGCTGAGAACCTGCCTGGGGTGGGGGGTGGGGGGGCTGCCCTGTCCGCCAGTGGTTTCTGAAGTCACACCTGCTTACCCCCAAGGTCAGTCTGTCACTGACTGACTGTTGGACTCGCATGACTCTGAGCGTCAAGTTTCCCATCTGTAGAATGTGGGCAAATGTGTGAGGGCTGTAAAACCACACACAAATCACCCAGCACACAGTGGTACTCAATAAATGGCCAGAAAACCAGTGCCTTCTGGGACCATGGAGGGCGTGCTCCACTCCCCCTTGACTCTCACCTGGACCTGAGGCCTCTCCCCGGGGACCCTGACCCCACAGCCGGAGATGGGTGCACTGATGCCTGGCACATGGGAGGAGCTGGACGTAGGCTCCAGCCCCACCTTGCCACTGACTGGCAGTGCGCCCTGGGGAGGCCCTGTGCTCTGTCTGGGCCTCAGTCTCTCGTCTGTCGAATGATTTGCTCACCGAGGGCCCCTGCTTGGACCTTGCCTGCCGACTCCGTGAGCAGTGGGCGGAGATGCCACCAGCTCGATTTGGCCTTGTCCAGATGGCTCAGTACTGCCTGAGTGTTGCCTGCTGTCTGTCTCGTGCCGCAGACCCCACTCTGCTGCCTTCCTTGTCTCCACGCCCCCTCCCTTCCTGTTCCCCTTCCCCCAGGCCTTCCCTTGGATCGAAGGTCCTCCTGTGAGAACTGCTAAGTCCACCCCACCCAGGCCCAGTGCGGAGCGGGACTCAGCAGGGGAAGCGCAGAGAAGTCTGCCTGCCGCGTGTCCACAGTCATGACCCAGCCCTCGGCTGCCTGGCAGGAAAGCCCAGCCCGGGCTGAGCCACTGTGGCTGCCCCTGCGGCCTTCTCATAGCCCTGCTTGACCACACACCCCCCCCACCCCCCCCCCCCGGCCTTTCTCTCTCCGCAGGGAGCTGTCTCACAACCAGATCGAGGAGCTGCCCAGCCTGCACAGGTGTCAGAAGTTGGAGGAAATGTGAGTCTGGGGGCAGGAGAAAGGCTGGGCAGGGTGGAGAGCAGGGCTCAGCGAGGGCCAAGGCACAGAGGGACCTTTCTCCCTCTCCGCATTGGCTCAGTGGTGGGGCAGGGCTGGGAGTTGGGACCCACAGCAGGTGACAGCCACTGGCACTGGCGCCCACAGCAGTCTCAGGTGGCTCTTTGAGAGTCAACAGCAGCATAGAAATGCAGTGGTGAGCGGAGGGGCACACACGGCAGAGCTCCGTGTGCCCTGCATGTGGGAACACGCTGGCTCATTTCTGCACCCCGTGAACACACATGTGCATATGGGTGCACAGGGCACAGACAGGCACAATCCTACGTGCAAGAACAAACCTGGGGCTCCAGTTCCGGGAGGAAAATCACTCTGAAAATGCTCTCAGCTCCGTTCACCCAGGCTGCTGTGTGTGTCTGCTGCTTCTCCCCAGAACAACGCCTCTGGGGCTACTGGAGGCTCTGTGCCCTCTGGGTGGAAGGAGGAGGGTCTCTGCTCTTGCCCAGGTCCTGTTTCTCAGCTTGGCCAGTCACTTGGGCTGTCTCTGCTCCTGGCCTAGGGTCTGGAGGACCCATGGTGACAGAGGGTGGGCACCGTGGGGCCGTTCGGCTGGGCTGAGAGCCAGGCCCGGTGGGAACACTGGAAGCTGACTCCCTTTTGGGCCACAGGGATGGTTTTGTGGCTTTGTCTCCTGACCCACTTACCCAAGGCAACCGGATCCCCTTGTGTTCCCTGTAATTCTGGTGACTTCTGCGGGCTGGGCCCTTTCTTCCCGTGCCAGGAGAAGTGGGGGGCTCTCCTTTCTTCCTCTCAGTGCTTGGGGGGTGTGGAACACGGCCAGGGCCTGAGCCCGCGGGCTCACCCAGCCTCTCTTGCTGCCCTAGTGGCCTCCAACACAACCGCATCTGGGAAATCAGAGCCGACACCTTCAGCCAGCTGAGCTCCCTGCAAACCCTGTGAGTACTCACAGCACCCAGGGTGGGCCCTGGGGGAGCCCCTGCCCCCCGGCCAGGCCCGTTCATACCCACAGCACACATGTGCGTTTTCAACACACGGGACGTTGCCCGCCACCTCCTACTGCCCAGTCACATGCACAGATGGCTTCTGCAGCTGGTATCCCGCAGGCCCCGAGACCGGGGGCCACGCTGTAGGTCCCCGTCCAGCCAGGAGCTGGGCAGCAGCAGGTCCCTTCCCCAAAAGACTAAGGTTACTGCTGCTGGGGCAGGTCAGACGGGGACTGTGAGGGAGAGCCCAGGTTGGGAGCGGTGAGCCCTGACCAGGTCACTGCCCTGTCACACCCTTTCTGTCCGCAGGGACCTGAGCTACAACGCCATCCGGTCCATCCACCCTGAGGCCTTCTCGACCCTGCGCTCACTGGTCAAGCTGTGAGTGCCCGCTGCACCCTCCTCCAGTGTTCCGGGGACCCGTGGGGACTGCGGCTGGTGGGTGGGAGCAGGAGGGCTGCCCAGGGCAGGGACATGCATCCAAGTGAGGCCAGCGTCCCAGGGAGAAAGCCTCTAGCCTAATCAGTCATTCAGACAGCGTGCTTGACAGCGGGGCCTGAGAAACAGAGGCCGCCTCCTGCAAGCTCCAGGACATCAGCTGCTGATGGGCTGTGGCGACGTTTTGGTAGCCTCAGACCTCGCATGCGCCCTGCTCCTGCCCCCTCCAGCCTCTGCACCCACTGAGGAAGAGGATGCAGGGTCTGGAACTCCTTCACGACACAGGAGGGTGGCAGCAACTGGAGTAGCCATGGCCCCGGGGAACTCCTGTTTGAGCGTTACTCTAGGGGGCTGCCATTCTGTGGGCAGCAGGAGACCCCGGCCCTCTAAGCAGCCTGGGATGTAAACAGGCAGCCGGCCGTGCTGGCTCCATGGTCAGCATGTCAGGGCTGGAGGGGCCCCTCGGTGGGGCTGCTGCGGCCTGTAACTCAGGTTATTCACTGCACAAGGGCCCCTGCCTGTGGGCTTGGCCAGCTGTGTGTCCGAGGCCTTGTTCTCCCAGCCCCAGACCTTCCGTGATCAATGAGAAGCCTCCTAAAGACCAAACAGCCCCAGCCCCTCACTCCACAGAGGCCTCCAAGGCTCAGGGGCAGACGTGTGCCCACGCCAAAGCCCAGAGCCTGGGCCTCCCAGACAGAACACAGTCCCTCCCCCCGCCGCTGCTCTCTGGGCTCCGGGCCGTGCCTTGGTGCCTTGCAGAACTCCCACCACTCTCTCCCCTGTCTTGTTTGCTCTGCTCCTGCCAGGTAGGTAGGGCAGTTATTTATATCCCTTTGAAAGATGAGGACATTGAAATGCAGGCAGATTTGTGACTCCCTTTGGTTACACAGTGAGTCGGTGACAGTGCCAGGTTTCCTGCCGTCCAGTCCAGGGCTGTTTCCACGACGCACAGTCTGTGGTCGTGGTGTTTGCTTTAGAGCCCTGGCTTCCACTAACGTGTCTCCGACAGAGGACCACGCACAGCCTCACCTCTGGCTTCAAAGCAGGCACGGCCAGACAGGATGGGTGACGGAATCCCTGCTGGGAGCCGGCCGAGCAGCTCTGTGCAGTCCCCAGCCCTGGCCTCTTGTGTCATCAGAAAAGCCACGGGGAGGCAGGGGAGGGGGCTGGCGGCAGGCAGGTCCCTGGGTTGGGTGGGCAGCGATTCCTGGCTGGGGCTCAGACCTGCACACAGGGGCTGTGGTTGTAGGCGAGTAGTGCCTACCCGTTGGGGTGGCTTGGCCTGAATTAGCACCGCCTGGTATAGTCAGCCCCAGCGAGTGGCTGAGCTGTGGACGGTGCCTCCAGCCGCTCTGGCCCTCTCCTGCCCCTTCCTGCTCTGCTCATCTCCTGCCCTGTGCTCCTCTCCACTTGCCTCCAGCCCAGGCACTCTGGCCACACCCTCAGCCCAGCCCCGCCCTTCAGCCATGCCACCGGCTGCCAGTAACCCTGACCATCCACTGTCCTAGGGACCTGACAGACAACCAGCTGACTGCGCTGCCCCTGGCCGGCCTCGGGGGCCTGATGCACCTGAAGCTCAAAGGGAACCTGGCTCTGTCCCAGGCTTTCTCCAAGGACAGTTTCCCGAAACTGAGGTGAGGGCCGGGGGCGCGGGGAGGGAGCTGGGAGCTGCAGGCCTCACCCTGAGAGAACCTGGCGGCCTGGCGTTAGGAAGGGCCCATCCGACTTCCTCCCCGCCTAGCTGGGGCCCCCGCATATGCCTCCCCTTCTACCTCATCTCCCTGTAGCATTTCCCTGGCCCCAGGTACCAACATCAGGAGCCTTGGACCCTCGGGCCCCTCACTCCTGCCTTGTCCCCACACCCAGACTCTCGGTCCTCCCTGGGGCCACATCAGGGCCCCTGGAGTGAGGGCAGAGCCCAGGGCATTGATGAGTGGGGAACGCGCTGCACAGCCAGGCCCTGGTGCTAATGACATCCAGGCCTCCTCGTGCCACAGCAGCTGCCGCCGCCTCCCAGCCTGTGTGGCCCAGGCCTTGTCTGCTGCACGCTAATGAGATGCCCCAGGGCATCTGCCCTCCTCCTCAGAGGGCCCAGGCTCCAGTTCCAACGTGCGCCGTGCTGGAGGAAGGGCAGTGGTCTCTCTGAGGGCAAGGGTAGAGTCCCTAGAAGAATCCCTGCCTCGTATAAAGGAGTTGCAGCCTGGGACGCTGCTGTGTGGGCTTGGAGAAGCTGCTCCCACTCCCCGTCTGCTGAGGGCGCTCCTCAGACAACGGGCAACTTCCTGCTGCCCTGCCTTCCCCGTCTGGGGATGAATGGAGAGAAGCCTGGAGCATGCCCGGAGCCCTTGGGTCAGGGGTCCAGCTGCAAGGCTTGTGCCGGAAGCCGGGGCTGCCTGCACAGTGACGGAGAACTTTGGTGTCGAAGGGCAGCTTCCCGGTACCCAATCCCTGGGCTGGAGCTCGCCTAACTCAAGCTAAAGTCTTGGACCCCAAACATGCTAAGGTGGCCCGTCTCCCCTCCTCCACCCAGGATCCTGGAGGTGCCTTATGCCTACCAGTGCTGTGCCTATGGTGTCTGCGCCAGCTTCTTCAAGGCCTCTGGGCAGTGGGAGGTCCAGGACTTGCACCTTGATGACGAAGAGGCTCCAAAGAGGCCCTTGGGCCTCCTTGCTGGACCAGCAGAGAGCCACTGTGAGTGATGGGGATTCTGGGCTGGGCAGGATGGGGGCGTGGAGAGGAAGTTAGAGAGGAGGCTTGGGGGGCCCAAAAGGGACTTTTAGGGGGCTACAGAGGGGAGCTCTGGGGTGCACGGCTGCTTTTGACCTGGGAGGAAATTCTACCACTGTTGCTGCCTTGTCCCTCAGAGGCTACACCCAAAGGTGCTTGCAGGAAGTGGTGATGGTAACAGAGCCAGGAGCGGGGTCTCCATATCTGCCCAGCCCTCTGTGGTTCACAGCGGGAACAGGCACTGTCGCACTTCAGTCCCCTGCCCTGCAGCTCGTGTGTTTTGGCTCTGTGGCTGCCTCCCCGTCACAAGGGCCCTTCAACCTTAGGGCATTCTCTGAGAAGACAGACCTATTATTTCACCGACCTGAGCCAAGTAGTATTGAATTAAGTCAATTGGATTAACCCTGCTTCCAGGAAGAAAAAAAATCCACTTATAATATGTTCTAGAACCGAGAGGAACGGCTGAGTCCATCCTGCACCCCCAGTGTGTCCCCTGAGTCTGAGAGGGAGACTTGGGCGGCCACTAGGAACAAAAGGGCCTCGCTGGGAAGGGCCAGCATGGTGCACGCGTCTCGGGCAGATCGGTCTTTGGGGTGAAAGGCAAAGGTTAAAGGCAAGCGTCCAGAGGGGTTCTGAGAGGCCTTCTAAGTGGAGTCCTTGATACAGGGTGAGAGGAGGGCTCCCCGACCCGACCCACATCACGGAACCCAAGCAGAACCAGAGAAAGGGGAGGGAAAGGGGAAGGGGCCCCTGTTCTAGGGATTTCTTTTTCCGCCCCTAATTCCCTCTGTCCGCTCTCTCGATGGAGAAGCTAAGCAGAAAAATCAAATCTAAACGTACAAGGAAGACTTGTCAGGATGGTGTAGGCAGACTGGGCCCCAAGCCCCCAACCACTCACCGGCGGCTGGCCCTGGAAGGGCTACCTAGCCTTCCTGAGCCTCAGTTTCTTTATCTTTAAATGAGACAGGTGATGCCTCTCTCACAGGCTTGGGGGAGGATTAGAAGATTCCAGAAATGGCAAAGTTACGCTGCTACTGCAGACGGGTACCCTCGGGTACCTGTGTAGGGAGCATGTGGTGGTGTGGTTCAGGATGCTGGGTGGGCACCCCGGGGTCTCTGGGAGCTCCCTCTCGGGGAACCATGGCACCTCCCTGGAGGGGGGGGGGGGGGTCCAAGGACTCAGTGAGGAGGAGCCCAGCAGCCCGGCCGGCTCTGGGCCGCAGACGGCTGTCCCCAGGGGACATTCCCGGATGTCTGCTGTACACTCCCTCAGGGGCCTGGAAGGCGGAATGGAAACTTTCCTTCCTCAAGGTGAAACTTTCCACCAGGCTTAGGCCTTGGAGAACCACAGGGCGTCGAGCTCGCGGGCTGCCTGCCGCCTGTAACGGGAGCTGGGGCAGGGCCCCCCACTTCCTGTGAGAACTAATGAGCCCCGAGCAGGAAAGCCAGGAGCTGCTGCGCCAGCCAGATTCGATTTCCTCCTCGTTTGAAGAGTGGTTACTTAACACCTTGGCTGTGACTTTCCCAGCCTCAGACGGAGTCCGCGGGTTTCACCCCTTGTATTTCATTCATGCATTTTGATTTCACAGAATTGCTGAGCTCCATGGTGGAGAGCTGGGAAGGGCCCGTGTGGCGCAGGCCAGATCTGTCTGCTTCTGGAAGGGAATGAAAGGGAGGGAGGGGTGGAAATTCCAGGCTGCGGGCACACCTCGGCCTCCTGCCCGCCCTGACGCTGTGGGGCCAGGGCGCCTCCGCAGCCGTCCTGACTCCTGCGAAAACTCCCAATGGGATGTGTTTATTCTCCAAGTGGGGGGAGAGATCTGCTCGGGAAACAGACCTTCTGAGCCAACGCTGGGGACACGTGCAACAGACAAGACCACCTGTCCTTGACCTGCACAGCGGCAGAGCTGCCCCTTAAACCTGTCCACATAGAAACATCTTTTTGAGCCGAGCAATTCTCCCGCACCATCAGCTCTCTAGACCCCTTTCCCAGCCTGACTCAAGAAACTTAGAAAGAGGCCGGCGCCATGGCTCACTTGGCTAATCCTCCACCTGCAGCGCCGACACCCCGGGTTCTAGTCCTGGTCGGGGCGCCGGATTCTGTCCCAGTTGCTCCTCTTCCAGTCCAGCAGTGGAAGGCAGTGGAGGGTGGCCCAAGTGCTTGGGCCCTGCACCCGCAAGGGCAACCAGGAGGAGGTACCTGGCTCCTGTCTTTGGATGGGCGCAGCGCGCCATCCATAGCGGCCATATGGGGGGGTGGACCAACGGAAGGAAGACCTTTCTCTCTGTCTCTCTCTCTCTCACTAACTCTGCCTGTCAAAAAAAAAAAAAGAAAAGAAAAGAAAAGAAACTTAGAAAGAGTAAGTGATGGAGTATTGCTGCAGAAAAATGTTTTGCCTTTATAGATTATGTTTTAGATTTTCATTTCAAAATTCACATTGTAGAATTTATGAACCCCTGAGACACCCATGATCCAGCGGAGGTCAGAGGCCCTAGTTTGAGAAACACTGCCTGGGGCAGTATCACGGGGCAGGCGACAGGCTGCCACTGCGACATTGGCATCCCATATCGGAGCGCCGGTTTGAGTCCTGGCTGCTCTGTTTCCAATCCAGCTCCCTGCTAATGCGCCTGGGAAAGCAGCGGAAGATGGCCCAAGTGCTTGGGCCCCTGCCACCCATGTAGGAGACTCTGATAGAGTTCTAGGCCCCTAGTTTCATCCTGGCCTAGCCCTGGCCATTGGGCCATTTGGGGAGTGAATCAGTGGACAGAAGATATCTCTCTGAAACTCTGCCTTTCACATAAATAAATAAATCTTAAAAGAAAAAAAAATAAATACTGGGGCCAGCATTGTGGTGTAGCCGGATAAGCCACCTCCTGTGATGCTGGCATCCCCTGTGGGTGCCAATTCAAGTCCTGGCTGCTCCACTTCCAATCCAGTTCCCTACTTGTGTGCTTGGGAAAGCAGCAGAGGATGGCCCAAGTACTTGGGCCCCTGCACCCACATAGGAAACTCGGATGAAGCTCCTGGCTCCTGGCTTTAGCCTGGCCCAGCCCCAGCTGTTGGAGCCATCTGGGGAGTAAACCAGTTGATGAAAGATATTCTATCTATCTATCTATCTATCTATGCTATGATATGATAGATAGATAGATAGATAGATAGATAGATAGATAGATAATTTGAAAGGCAGAGTTTACAGAGACAGACAGACAGAAAAGGAGAGATCTTCTATCCACTGGTTAACTCCCCAGATGGCTGCAACAGTTGGTGCTGGGCCAGGCTGAAGCCGGGAGCTTCTTCCAGGTCTCCCACATGGTGCAGAGGCCTAAACACTTGAGCCACCTTCCAGTGCTTTCCCAGGTGCATTAATAGGGAGCTGGAGCAGAAGTGGAGCAGTCAAGTCTCAGACCAGTGCCCATGTGAGATGACAGCATCGCAGACAGCAGCTGTACCCACTACACCACAATAAATCTTGGAAAAGAACTACTGCAATAGGAAATAAGCAAAAAAATTCCATTTGATTCAAAGATGTCCCTAATCTCATTTCCTGGGACCAGAGAATTAAAGCCTAGACTCAGAGCTGGAAGGAACGGTGCAGATGGTCTCGTCTGTCCCTGACTCAGCGTGCTGGCGCGCCCTTCCACTGGGGGATTTGCCGTTCAGTGTCTCCAGTGAGCAAATCTTAGATCTGCACAGACCCTCCAACCCTCCCACTCCCTGACTGCCCCAATAAACAGTGCCTCACCTTGGGGAGTGTCGAGGCTGACCACGCGGACTCTGAGTTCTGGCTGTGAGACTGGGCAAGCCACACCCCCTTGATGAGCCTCAGCTTCCCAACCTGTCACGTGCCCCGCTCAGCTGCTGTGAGGCTGGTGAGGCCGTGAAGATGAGGGCTCCGCGCGAGGCACAGTAAGAGCTCAGGGCCACGGAGTGGACCTGTGTGCTGACGGAGCCCGTGAGCATCACAGTCGGCTTCCTGTGTCTCCACGCACTCCCGGGGAGCACGGGCATGTCTTTCACCCTTGCATTCTCCTGCCCTTGTCCAGTGCCTGACTTTGTTGTAAAGGTTTATTTATGTATTTGAAAGTCAGAGCTACAGAGCAGGAGAGGTGGGGGAGAGGGGAGGAGAGAGAGAGAGAGAGGGAGGGGAGAGGAAGAGAGAGAGAGATTGATTTTCCATCTGCTGGTTCACTCCCCAAATGGCCACCATGACCAGGGCTGGGCCAGGCCGAAGCCAGGAGCCAGGAGTTTCATCCAGGTCTCCCATGTGGATGCCGGGGCCCAAGGACTTGGGCCATCTTATGCTGCTTTCCCAGGCACATTAGCAGGGAGCTGGATCAGAAGTGGAGCAGCTGGGACGCAATTGGGCACCCCTGTGGGAAGCAGTGGCTTAACCTGCTGCAGCCCAGTGCCGGCCTTAGTGCCTGGATTTTGTCAGCATTGCATACAGCACCCGTGGGCCCTCCAGGGCATTTGTTGAAGGAAAGGTGCTCCTTTGTCAGATAACCCTGCTTGTGGGGATCTATTCTTAGCAAGAACTAGACCGTCTCCATCTGAATAATAATTTGCCTCCATCTACAATCCACCCACTGATGCTAGTTCTACCCCCTGGGAAAGACCAGCGTGTGTCAGGACCACAGGTGTTTGCACAGCAGTTATGAGGCCACCTGGGATGCCTCCTGCACACCACATTGAGTGCCTGGTTTGAGTCCTGGCTGTTCCACTTCTTCTTCTTTTTTTTTTTTTTTCTTTGACAGGTAGAGTTATAGACAGAGAGAAAGAGAAAGGTCTTCCTTCTGTTGTTTTACTTCCCAAATGGCCACTACGGCCAGCGCTGCACCGATTCGAAGCCAGGAGCCAGGAGCTTCTTTGCGGGTGCAGGGGCCCAAGCACTTGGGCCATCCTCTACTGCCTTCCCGGGTCACAGCAGAGAGCTGGATTGGAAGAAGAACAACCGGGACTAGAACTGGCGCCCATATAGGATGCCGGCGCCACAGGCGGAGGAGTAACCAAGTGAGCCACGTCTGGGGCCAGCTGTTCCACTTCTGATCCAGTTTCCTGATAATGCACCTGGGAAGGAAGGCAGCTGATGATGTCTAGGCCCCTAGACTTGGGTCCCTGCCACCCGTATGTGAGGGCTGTACTGAGTTCCAGGCTCCTAGCTCCGGCCTGGTACAGCTCCGACTGTTGTAGGCATTTGGAGCGTGAACCAGTGGATGGAATCTCTGTCTCTCCCCTTCTCTGTCTCTCTGTCTTTTAAATATAAGTGAAGGCGATTTTAAGAATTCAAAAAATCAGCATGTAGAAATGTTACTCCTTCCTGCCCAGTAGGCCTGCAGCTCTCTGAGCACAGCCATTACGTCCCCACTTACTCCTGTTTTCTCCAAATGAAACACCCGAAACACCCCAGCCTGTTTCTCATTCAAATGGCTCCTGCTCCTCGATTTCCCTAGCTCACTTCTGAACACACCACAGCTCCCGGACGTCCCTTTCATGTGTGTGTTCACACTGGATGTGGATGTCACAGGCAGCCTGGCCAGAGCAAGGGGACCTCGCAGTCACTTGCTCGCAGTGTCACGGTGGTGGCACCTGGACTCTCAGAGGCACCTCGTGGACGGAGGCCGACTGGAGGCGGCACAGAGCACTCTTAGTCCTTGACGGAGCAAGGCTCGCAAGGCCTTTGCTGTGCAGGACAGGCAAAGTGGCTGAGCCCCGTGGTGTGGGTAAGAGGGAGCTGGCCAGAGAGCAAAAACGGATGAGCAGGGCGCCAGGGATGACCAGTGCCGGTCTGGAACCACTACTTAAAGGCGTGGGCATTTGGACAGTGACACCAAGACCCACGACCCAGGCCACTTTCTCATCTCCCTTCGCAGATGACCTGGACCTGGAAGAGCTCCAGCTGGAGATGGAGGACTCAAAGCCACACCCCAGTGTCCAGTGTAGCCCAGTGCCAGGTGAGGGACATGTCCCCAGGGCTGGGGGAGGGGCACGCGGCCACGTGGATGAGATGCCAGCTCGGCCTGGCACCGTCTCTGCCGACACCCAACCTGCTAGGACAGGGCAGTCTGCTGCAGTTCCCTCGGCCCGGGGGCGGTCAGGCAGCCTGAGTGAGTCAGCCAGGTTGAGACTGTGCGTCCGGGAGAAGCCTGCCCTCGGTAGGGGAAGCAGGAAAGAATCGCCTGACCCCATAGCTTCCGAGCGCTCCTTCATCCGAGGCCCACACCGTGAGAGCCTGGAGCCGCTGGGCCTCTGCCAGGTCATGGAAGGGCGAATTCCCCATCCCGGGAAGACTGTTGTCCCTGTTAACTCCGCGGGGGAGCTCTCGGCAGGACCCCCAGGGAGCCCCTTGGGTTCCGTGTAACCCTTACGGCAGAGGAGGCCTCCTTTAGAGTCTGCCCTAAGTCCAGCTGGCTTCCAGAAGGAAAGAACCTCCCCTTTCTGCTTGGTGCAGTTCAGCCTGGGATAGAGTGAACAAGTGTCTGTCCTTGCTCACGAAACGCTAACAAGCGCCCCCAGGAGGCAGCAGCTGGGTGCCTGCAGGCCAGGAGCTGTTCTCATGAGCACGAGGCAATGAAGGGATGAAGGGTGTGCTGCTGCTTCTTCGTCCCACCCTCACTTCCCAGTTCTCCTCCTTTCCTCGACTCAGGCCCGTTGGCCTGCTCCCCCTGCCTCCCAAAGCCTGATGAATGCCTGCCTGATCTTGCGGGATACCAGCTCTCAGTGCTCGGTGAGAGCAGCACGCCCCCTAGTGCCAGCCCAAGGCCAGAGCACGGCCCAGCCTGGGGGCTGCAGGTGGTGTCTCTGATTTGGAAACCCACAGGCTTCATTCCCACTGCCACAGAAATTTCCCCTCTGAAAACTGGCAGTCATCAGGGAGGAAGGAAAGAGGATGTGCCAATAGACAAGGTCCAACTTGAACTTCCTTTTAAAATCTCTCATACAAATGGTCAAGTAAGTTATGGTACATCACGTGATGGAGTATTTATTACACATTGAAAAGACGCTTTGGGGAAATATAAGGCTATGGGAAAGGTGTATTATAAAATTTTAACTTAAAGGGAATAAAAGGCTATATACAATAGAATCCCAGTGTAGTTAACACACACACACGTAATTTTTTTCACTGAAAGGAAACATCCCCAAAATACAGAGTTTGCTCTGAAAGGTAAATTCATAAACAGTTTTATTTTTCCCATGCTATATTTTCAAATTTTCTGTAATTACCAACTATTATTTGGTAATCAGAAAAATGCCTGATTTTTTTTTAAAAAAAGCTCACAGAAAAACCTTTCAAATTCCCAAGCTACCTAGAAATACATTGAAGAACAAGTTTGTAGCCAAAGGAAATGAAGATATTATAGTAAGTGCCAAGTTACAAGGGAATTTAAGAACAGACTCGGGAGAGACGGGAAACAGCAGGCTATCACCCATGTAGCGTGGGTGCCAGTTGGAAAACCCCAGAGGTCCTCTGTGTTTTGATTACTTGCTTTGCTGATGGGCTGATGAGGATCCGAGAGGGTCTGTACCCCCTCAGGACAGGGGAGAGGCAGCCTGGCCCAGCGCCCAGTAAGGGTTCCTCCGCGCTACCTCAGTGGACGGCTGAGCGCTGTCTGGGGGTCATAGGATGGTGGCTGTCAGGGCCCTCCCGTCTCCGTGTCTCTGCTCCCACCCAGCCCCAGCCTGATGCCCTCAGCTACTTGATGACGTCTCGTCCCTTCCTTTCATCCAGAGACCGCTCCGCGGACAGGCTGCCTTGCTCGGTGCCTGAGTTAGCGCTGTGTTATCCTGGGTATACATATGTTTCTGTTTTCTATGTGAAACCAGGAGGAGGGTAAATACTCATCTCATATGCAGCTCGTTAGAAGACCTGTGTTTGTCCTGTCGTCTCCCCCCACCCAGCCCCAGCCAGGAGTCCCCCACCGTGAGACCTGCAGAGGCTGGCCTCCCCCAGGACGGTGCCGAGGGGCCTCTGGCCTGGCGGTGATGTGTGATCCTCTCTCCCGCAGGCCCCTTCAAGCCCTGTGAGCACCTCTTTGAGAGCTGGGGCGTCCGCCTGGCCGTGTGGGCCATCGCGTCGCTCTCCGTGCTCTGCAACGGGCTGGTGCTGCTGACTGTGTTTGCTGGCGGGCCCGCGCCCCTGCCCCCGGTGAAGTTTGTCACAGGTGCCATTGCCGGCGCCAACGCCCTAACTGGGATTTCCTGCGGCCTCCTCGCCTCAGTGGACGCCCTGACCTTCGGCCAGTTCGCCGAGTATGGAGCCCGCTGGGAGATGGGGCTGGGCTGCCGCGCCACGGGCTTCCTGGCGGTCCTGGGGTCGGAGGCCTCCGTGTTGCTGCTCACGCTGGCCGCCGTGCAGTGCAGCATCTCTGTCTCCTGCGTCCGAGCCTACGGGAAGGCCCCCTCCCCGGGCAGCGTCCGCGCCGGGGCCCTGGGCTGCCTGATGCTGGCAGGGCTGGCCGCAGCCCTGCCCCTTGCCTCCGTGGGAGACTACGGGGCCTCCCCGCTTTGCCTGCCTTATGCCCCAGCCGAGGGCCAGCCGGCGGCCCTGGGCTTCGCCGTGGCCCTGGTCATGATGAACTCCTTCTGCTTCCTGGTCGTGGCCGGGGCCTACATCAAACTCTACTGCGACCTGCCGCGCAGCGACCTGGAGGCCGTGTGGGACTGCGCAATGGTGAGGCACGTGGCCTGGCTCATCTTCGCCGATGGGCTCCTCTACTGTCCCGTGGCCTTCCTCTGCGTCGCCTCCATGCTGGGCCTCTTCCCTGTCACCCCTGAGGCTGTCAAGTCTGTCCTGCTGGTGGTGCTGCCCCTGCCTGCCTGCCTCAACCCGCTGCTCTACCTGCTCTTCAACCCCCACTTCCGGGATGACCTTCGGCGGCTCTGGCCCTGCACCGGGAGCCCAGGGTCCCTAGCCTGTGCTGCTGCCCGGGAGCTGGAGAAGAGCTCCTGTGAGTCCACCCAGGCTCTGGTGGCCTTCTCTGACGTGGACATCGTCCTGGATGCCTCCGAGGCTGGGCGGCCGCCTGGGCTGGAGACCTATGGCTTCCCCTCAGTGACCCGCGTCCCCTGTCAGCAGCCAGGAGCCCCGAGCCTGGAGAGCAGCCATTGTGCAGAGCCAGAGGGGCCCTGCTCTGGGAAGCCACCACCCACCGTGGATGGCGAACTGCTGCTGAAGGCAGAGGGCGCCCCTCCACCCCCAGGCAGGGCCTTCCGGCACTCTAGCGGGGCCTTCGGCTCGCACGTGTAGCCGTCCCCTCGCCTGTCTCCACGTCTCCTCCGCCCACCCTCCTGCCGTCCTCCGTGAACGATGGCTGCTTGTACAATGAACACAACCAAAACTCAGCAGTGGGCTCCGTGGCAGGATGGCCACGTGCGGCCCCACTGCTCCCTCTCCCCCGGCCGTAGCCAACCAGGGCGTCTTGGCCCAGTTCCCTTTCGCCCTTCCTCAGCCTCACCGTCGTGCCGGGCCTCTTTCTTGCCATGCCGGAGGCCATGGACGAGGGACCTGGAAGTCTGTCTGCTTGAGTGACACGATGGGAATAAAAGCCAGCAGAGGGGTTTTGGGGCTGCGCAGGCTCAGGCTCGCAGCACAGCAGGCAGGGAGGCCCCACGGAGAGGGGCCTGGGAGGGGACCACAAAGGCATGTGGGCATCTCCCGTGGGACTCATGAATGAGATGTAAGTGTGTTCTGTGCCTCGTTAATCTTGACGCATGCCACACCAAAGCACTTTCTGTTAAAGTCAGCTTTGGAAGAGATCACACAGTTTCAGGGGACCTGTTGGCGTAGGTGCAGCCCTGAGAGGTCCTGCACCCGTAAAATCTGTTGAACTTCACTTAACCACGTTCCCCCAAACTGTCTGACGGCCAGTTGTTGCTTCTCATAGAAGTGTCATGGCTAATAGCTCATGACACTTAGCGTTGCTCTCTCCGTACCGCCTACGTGCTCACCCCACAGCATCACAAGATGGCACCACTTCTGAAAAGCCCCCCAACCCAGGGTGAAGGGTCAGAGGTCAATGATGACCCTCCCCACCTCCACACTGCCCCTCCTAAGCCTCCTCCTTACCCAGGGAGGCATGGGGAGGAGCCTGTATCATGGCTGCAGCCTCAGCCCGAGTTGGGGTGGGAAGAAAGGTGTCCCTGAGTGTGCCTCCAGCCCCCTCCCCACCCCCAGGCACCAGGAAAACTTCTGCCCCAGCGAGAGGGTCAAGGGACTCTGGCTGGCTGGGTGCCCTCTGGCTGAGTGGCCATCCTGTGGTTCTCCTCCAGATGCTGCCTGCCACCTCTGTGGCTAGCCTGGTCCTGCTTTCTCTGGGGGAGAACAAGCCGTTAGCCAGCAAAGAGGAAGGATGTGCGTCTTGTGGGTATTGCATTTTAGGCAGCACTGTGGATACCCAGGCCTGCAGGTGCCCCTGACGTCTCTCTGCCGCACCCCTCATGACGTCAGGGTTTACCCAGCCCTGCTGAGTGTTTCTATGTGACTCAGTCTCAGAGTGAGGAGGGGAGAGCCCAGGCATCCTTGCAGATGTGGGGAGAGAATCTGAGGCTCGGACAAAGGCGAGAGTGGTTTCCGGGCACAGCAGCGTCGGCTCGGGGGCTCTGCAGTGCTGACACTGAACGGGGCACAGTGCTGCCCTGGATCCTGCCGCCGTCCTCGGCCAGGCTCTCCCCAAGGGGCGCCACCGTTAGGACACCCCTGTGAAAGAAAGCGCTTCCCCTGCCTCCGCAGCTCACTGAGAGTCGGTGATTCTTGGCGGGGCAGGAATTCTCTGGGGTGATAAAGATGGCATAGCCGGGTGGTGTGGGGGAGCCTCGACTTCTGGGCAGTCACCCAGGCCTCTGCTCCCTCCCTTCCTCTCCCACCACCGCGTGGTCCCTGTGTCTCACTGTTTCAGGGAGCCGTGTTGGAGTCAGTGCAGCGGCCGAGTGTTGCAGGTTTAGGAGTTACGGGAACTGTTCCCTGTAGGTGGCCTCTTCCATGGCAAGGGGGCCAGTGCTTTCTGGGTGCAGCCCTGGGGGATCACTGCTGCCACCTCTCTGTCTGCTTCTGGCAATCTGGGCAAGGGCCAGGGCTGGACCTCCTGGTCAGCGGGGAGGTGTGGAGGAAGCGGGAATGGGGTGGGGCTGTTTGCCACGAGATAGTTTCATTGTCCAAAAAGTGTAGGAGATGCTGTGATTTTACCCGAAGCCAAACTGTGCAGTAAGTGTCTGGTTTTGACCGACTTTCTAGTAAGTCCATAGGTGACTGCTTGGCCGTCTCCATTTTGACCAGTGGAAAAGCATAAACATTTTATATTTGTCTTTAAATAATCATGAAATCAGGAGCCAAATTATTCAATGTAGAAATGCATTGTGTTTGGTTGACAAAACCTTTGAAACTGGTGTCCATGGGAACGCATCCACCAGTCACCATGGCTGGGGAGACGCTGGGGGCTGCTGACTTGGCGTAAGTTGGCCCCAGCAACAGGTGCCACCCTCAACCTCCTCTCTAGCGCGACTTGTGCAGGGGACCTTCTGAGGGGGTCCATGACTTGCGATGCAGCTGTGTGCCCGCCGAGAGGAAAACCCCAAACCTTCAAAGCTGAGATTGGAGAGCGAGGGATTAACAGAGCCTCCAGCCAGGCCTTCTCCTTGCCTCCTCCTGCTCCTCTGACCTCCCAAACTCCTTCTAGTTTCCTTTTGCAGGAAGAATTAAAAGCTTGAAGAACAAGGGAGGGGAGAGCAAGGAGCTGACAGTGAGCAGGCCTGAGTATGTAGGGATGGCAGGTGGCTAGAGCCTGGATCCCTTCTGATGCCATCTCCTCTAACTACCTCTGCTCTGGTCAGCAAGTTTTCCCGCCCACAACCCCTGCAGCCCTCTGGGGCCCAGTCGCATGGCCTCGCAGCTGTGTGAAGTGGCAGCATTGTCGAGATGTAAATACTTGGGTTCTTCTGTAAAATAAAGCACGGGTAAAGTAGCACGGGTGTCGCTCTGCTCCTTCCGGCAGCTCCCGGGGGAGCCCTGGCTCTGGACAGCGGGCTGCCTTGAGAGGGAGGGATCGGGGTGTCGAGGTGTCTTCTGGGTTCTGGGCGTCTGGGGCACGGTGGAGGAGACTCGGCATTGGAGTTTGGAGTCATAAGAATCAGTTCCTCTCACCCGTGTTGAAGGGCCTTAGTGTGCCGGCCAAGTCAGGAGAGGAGTCAGGAGCAGTGAGCAGCCTGGCTGTCTGCTGCTCAGACCCGAGCCTTCCGCTGGGGTTTCCTGGTCCTGAGATTCTCAGAGAATCAGCTTGCCCCCCCCCCCCAAGCTGAGCTTCCTCACCCACTTCCCGTCTCGGGAATCTTCCCAGAAGCCTACTTCAGGGTGGATGATGCCTGCCAAACAGGCAGCCCCCCCCCCCACCTCTCGAGGTAAAGGAAGGACCCCGAGTTTAACAAAAACCTGCCATCACGGGCATGCGCCGCACTCCCCAGAGCAGCCTCAGAGCCCTGCTGACCCGGCGCCTGGCCCCTGAGGGGACAGCACCTGTCCTCACTCTTCCCGAAGCATCCCAGCCCTGCAACCTGTGCCCCCCCCACCCCTACCCCCGGCGGTGCAGCCCAGTGCCTCAGGTGCTCTGGTCGGCGTGGGGGAGAGAAAGAGGCAGGAGTCGACGCCTGTGAACGCAAGTCTCTTCACAGTGCCTGTGTGGAGTGTCCAGGGAAGCCATAAACCCAAGGTCAGAAAGGGCAGTGGGGCTGGGCTCCGTGGCACTGGAAGCCAGAGGGCCATTCTGGACTTGAAGCGGCTCCGGGCTCCGACTGGCAGGAACCTGCGCCACTGCGCCGCCCGCCACGGACGTCCCACTGCTCTCCGGAGCTTGTTAGGGCTGCCTGCGTTCCGCCGCACCCGCCTGCGCCCTCCTACCTGCGTAGTGTAGCAAGCTTTGAATAGGGCTCATCTTTGAATAAGTAAAGACATTAACGTGCTTCAAATAACACATCAGTGGCAGTCCCCTCCCCTGCCTGGACCTGTTTGCTCACTTCCCAAAGTTACCACTTCCACTAGTCTCTTTTACTTTCTTCTTCCTCTTCCTCTTCTTCTCCCCCTCCCTCCCCCTTCTCTTCCTCCTCTCCTCCATCTGAAAGACAGGGTGACGGACAGAGGGGCAGAGACAGACAGAGATCGCCCGTCCGCTGGTTCACTCCCCAGATGGCCACAGTGGATGGGCTGAGTCAGGCTGAAGCGGAGAGCCTGGAACTCCATCCAGGTCTCCCGCACGGGTGACAGGGCCCAGGCACTTGGGCCGTCCTCTGCTGCCTTCCCAGGCACAGTAATGGGATACTAGTGTGGCAGATGGTAGCTGAACCTGCCGGATGAAACACCAACCCCTTTTTCGCATTTTCATATAGCCCAAGGATATTTCCATGTCTGTGAAGAAAGCTCGCTCGCTCACTTGCTCGCTCTCTCCCACTCTCTCTCACAGCAGCTCGTATCGTTATGTGGATGTGTCTTAATTTTATCTCACCATTCCTTCTGATTGAGCTTTGGTTGCTTAATCTTTTGCCCTTACAAGTGACCCTACCAGTAACCTTGGATGGATGTCATTCAGCACATGTATATCTCTAAGATAAATTCCCGGAAGTGGAATTTCTGGGTCAAAGGAATATAATTTTGTGATTGATTTTTCAAGTCTTGCTGCTGCTGCTGCTGCTGCTTCTCTAAGATTTATGTGAAAGCCGGAGTGACAGGGAAAGACAGACAGAGACCTTCCGTCTGCTGGTTCACTTCTCGAACGGCCAGGCTGGGGCTGGGCCAGGCCAAAGCCAGGAACCAGGAACCAGGAACCAGGAACCAGGAACTCCATCTGGGTCTCCCATATGAGTGGCAGGGTCTTGAGTACTTGAGCCGTCTTCTGCTGCCTTCCCAGGTGCATTAGCAGAGAGAGCTGGACTGGAAGCAGCTGGGACTCCAGCCCACACTCGCGTGCTCTGCTGGTGCCACAGGCCGCAGCCCAACTCGCTGTGCCCGGCCCCCGGCCCCCTGGCTGCTTCTGCCGACTCCTCGCCTGTGGCTATGATGCGCGACTTCTGCTTGCTCGGACCTCACTGGTCCCAGTGCTTTCTCAGGTCCTCTCTATGCATCCTGGACCAATTGCCTCGTTTTCTGTTGGTAATGCCCAGGGCAGCGTCCTGAGAGATTGAGAGAATCTGAGCGGCCCAGCTGTTTTCTCTACGCTAGGCCAGATTGTAGGCCAGTGGTTGACTAACGGGCTGACCACACTTAGACCCACTAACTGCAGTGTGTGCATGGCTGTGCTTCTGTGGGGTCATTTCGGACAAAGAGTGACCACTCCAGGCTTCCCCTTGAGCGAAGGCTGTGGGTAGGGCTCCTTCTCTCAGAATGGACACTACGGAGGCATAGCGAGAAAGTTCCAAGACAGCGGGGACCACGTGGCTCATTCCCCGCTCTCACTTCAGTCCTCTAAGCACCGGCCCTGGCCCAAAGAGGTGCTTGATTACTTTCTGTCGAAGAAAACAAAGAGAATTAAGAAATTTACCTGAGTATATCCTTGAAGAATCTGTTTCCCAACCTAACGGGGCTATTCGGCCAGGAGATGTAAATCAGGTAGAGACAAAACCATTCCTGTCCCCAAGAGCTGCCACTGTGTCACCCTGCAGAGTGGGCAGGTGATAGTACAGTGAGACCTGAGGGACCATCGGTTCCCTGGTGCTCTCTGTACTGACCCCTGCGCTGGCCCCCACAGCAGTGGAAATCCCACCATCGTAGGTGCTCATTCCTCCGGGGTAGGCATAGCCCACTGTCTCGGCCACCTGTTGCTTTTGCCTGTCCGGTGGTCACTTCTGTTCTTCTGAAGACATCTGTCTGGCTTTCCTTAGGGCAGCCCCCCTGGGCCACCTGCTGCACGTGGTTCAGGTGCGGCTGGCCCCACACAGGCTCCATGGGATGGGAATATGAGCCAGTCCAAATGAGCTTCCCCTCTCCCCTGGCCACTGTGCTCTGTCCAGGGACGGGGCTCGTACCCCAGGGCCTGCGGTGGGACTTGACCTGGGAACTTTGCTGGAGCTGAGAGGGGAGCACTGGAGTGTCTACACTACAAGGGTGTAGCGAGGCCAGTGTGTGTGTTGTCGCCTTGGAAAGCAGCGAACACTGATGGCAATGAGTTGAGCGCCTGTACCTGGGCTGGAGTACAGCTTGTGAACCGTAACCGCCTACTCACTTGAGACTTGCATTCCTGTCACTTATGTGGAGGAGAACCTGGACGGGCGTCCTTAGTAGCCCCCTCTGCACCACCTCCCGCCCGTGGCCCAGGGGCAAACCCACCGTCCTCTTAACAACAGTTGGGGTGAAAGAGGGCAGTTATTAAAGGGGAGTGGGGGGACAGGCAAGGAAGATTGTCAGACAGATACCCAGACAGATACCGGCTGGGGGCAGTGGGCCTGCGGGCGAAGCTCCTTTGGGGGGGGGGCAAAAGAACACTGGGGGAGGGGGAGGGGGAGGGGTGGGAAGGGAAGGCAGGAGGTAACCAGGCCGGCTGTGCAGGCTTCCTCCCTGAACCTGGGGACCATGGGCTCTGTCCACCACCCTTGGACAGAGCAGGGAGCTTCCAAATGAAAGGACAGCCCGGTGTTGGCCCTGAGAGAGACCACACAGGCAGCTAAGCCGCTGCCTCCTGGTACAGAGGAGTAGGCCGATGGAGAGCAGCTCGTCCAGGATCCCACAGCTGCTCTTGGGGAACCGGCGTGACAGGTGTACAGACATTAGAATAGAACCCGTACGGTTGATAAATGTGATCCAGATTTACATGAATAGCCAAGAGTCCTTAAGTTTTATTTTTTTTTAATTTTTATTTATATAGATGAGAGGCAGAGTTACAGACAGTGAGAGGGAGAGAGACAAGAGAGAGAGGTCTTCCATCTGCTGGTTCACTCCCCAAATGGCCACAATGACCAGAGCTATGCCAATCCAAAGCCAGGAGCCAGGAGCTTCTTCAGGGTCTCCCATGTGGGTGCAGGGGCCCAAGGACTTGGGCCATCCTCCACTGCTTTCCCAGCCATTAGCAGAGAGCTGGATGGGAAGAGGAGCAGCCGGGACTTCAACAGGCACCCATATGGGATGCCAGCACTACAGGCAGAGGATTAACCTACTGTGCCACAGCGCCAGCCCCTAGTTTTATTATTTTTAAAAAATATTTATTTATTTGAAAGAGTAACAGAGAGAGAGAAGGGAAAATAGAGATCTTCCATCTGCTGGGTCACTCCCCAGACAGCTGCAACACCAGGGCTGGGCAGGCTGAAGGCAGGAGTCCGGAACTCCATCCCGGTCTCCTTTATGGATGGCAAAGGCCCAAATATTTGGGCCACCTTCTGTGCTTTTCCAGCCGCATTAGCAAAGAAGTAGATCAAAAGTGGAGCAGCTGGGACTCACACCGGTGCTCCTATAGGGGGTGTTGGCACCGCAGCCGGCAATGTAACCCATGGCGTCACAACACTGGCCCCGTAAGTTTTCTTGACAATTTCTCTGAGTCTCAGTTCCGTCATCAGTAAAATCTGAGTGGTTATACATGAACACTGAAGGTTACTGGAAAGATTTTCAAATTTCTCGTATAAAGACTTTAGCTTGATGCCTAGCAGTAACTCCCAGGTCAAGAGAACCTGGAGACTAAGGTCTCAGCCCTAGCGGAGGTTGCCTCTGATGGAGCTTGGGGGTTAGGAACCCTCGGACACATCCTTGTTTGAAGCAGTTTCCGGTCGGCATGGTGGCATGGTAGGTTAAGCCTCTGCCTACGACTCAACTTGGCTGATCCACTTCTGATCCAGCTCCCTGCTAATGCACCTGGGGAAGTAGCAGAGGATGGCCCAAGAGCTTGGGTGCCAGCACCCACATGGGAGACCCAGAAGAGGCTCCAGGCTCCTGGTTTCAGCCTGGCCCGGCCCTGGCCGTTGTGACCATCTGGTTACCAGCAGATGGAAGGTCTCTGGCCCTGGTGGTCTCCCTCTCTGTAACCCTTTCAAATAAAATAAATAAATCTTAAAAAAATAAAAAGATGGAAGGCAGGGGACACAGTCTGGTCGGATGTGGGATGGGGGGAGGTGAACAAGGAAAATGAGCACGTGGAGAGGAAACCCCTGGAGGGGGGACAGGATGGAGGTGGGGGGGCAGACTCCGGGTAACCTGACATCCCCGATATAAACCGAGTGGGAGGAGGGCTGTGCGCGCTCTGGGGACCGAGGCAGGAGGCAGGAGCATCGTGCCAGGAAGCAAGCACAAAGTGGAACGTGGTGTTTCTCCGCAGGGCACGGCTGTGTCCATCGCCCCAGCCTCTCTCCAGCTCCTCCAGCAGCCGTGTGGAGTCTGGATTGCACGCTGCCCTGCAGCCGGCCATCCTGGGGAGCAGGTTCTGGAACCACAGCCCCACACCCCTCCCCGTCCTCCCTCCCTCAGGCTGCCCCAACCTAAACAAGGCAACCTGGCAAGGCGGGGCTGCGCTGATGGAAAAACACACACTTGGCTGGAAACGCAGCTTTATTTGTGTGTGTTGAATTCCCGCAGCAGCCAGAGGATAAATAGCTGGTCCCAGCCTGAGCGCAGAGCCTGCCCGCTAGGTGGGTGGTAAAATCTGTTCTTATTTAGATAGCTTTTGGGGGCGAGGTGGAGAGGGGGATGGGGAGCGGCAGGAGAGGGGTCTTGGAACCTGCAATGTTTAGATGATCCATCATGGATGTCATCTCTCCTCTTTAATTAGGGGTGTGGCGTGGAGACAACGCTCAGCTTGCACATCCTAGGGATGGCGCAGATGGGCAAGCAGGCCGAGGGCAGGGCAGCTCCTTGGGGCCCACCGCCCGGTGGACCCGTCTCCTGCCCCAGGCCCCCGCTGAGGGCTCCCTGTTCGCTCTGCCCAGCTTCAAGGCATCCCTTCATTCAACCCTCAAGTTCCACCCTTCTCCCCACTTGACAGAAGAAAAACTGAAACAAAGACTGAGCAGAAGCTAAGCTCGCACAGTTGGAGGCAGCGCCACTGAGGCTGGAAGCAGCGGCCCCGCTTTTACCCCTTTCCCATCCTCCCCAGGCCTGGACAGGGGCCTCAGCGTTCCTCAGCCGTGTGCACGGCATCCCCACTCCCTGGCCCAGGTCCTGTGTGTGTGTGAAGGCAGAGAGCTGGATGGATGACTTCTAGTAACTTGTGGCTCTGGAGGGAGTGTCTTCCGGCCACCATGCCCCCATCACAGTTTCAGCCGGGTGCAAGTACTGTGAGAAAGCAGGTGTTGTAATGGGCTGGAGAGTGAGGCTCTAGGGCTCCCTTAGATGGGAGAGACAGGGGCTTCTGGGACAACTGAGACCATCACTGGGAACGCAGGGGACAGAGGCACTAGCACATGGGAAAGTCCTGAGCAGGCAGGGGCTGTGTCCAAGGGATGGAATGCAGGAAGCGTGGCCAGTACGTGTAAGGGTCAAGGGGACTCGGGGACGGACAAAGCAAGCAGGGGCCAGACGGCGCGGCATCTTACGGATCAGAAGACACTGGATTGCTGTTCCCACTGCAAAAGCAAGCCGCTAGGAGGGCCTTAGGAAGGGAAGCCAAATCTGACTGGCAGTGATCAAAAGATGATTGTTGCTGCTGTGAGGAACACGGACTGGCAAGGGTCAAGGACGGAGGCGAGAAAAATAGGTGGCAGTCTGTGCTGCAGAACAGGTGAGGTGACGGGGCGTGGCCTCATGCTGGGAGGCGGGAGTAGCTGGTAGAGCTGACCGGACCTGGTGACAGGTTCCATGTGAAGGGGGTTTGTCCTTAGGTGATTTTCTATAATTTTCTCTAAGTGCACCTGTCATTTCACATCTGTGTGCAGCCCAAACCAACCAGCACGTGCCATGTCCCTGGCCAGTGGCTGCTTTCAGGGTGGCCCTGTCCCAGCACCTGTGTTCCAGAGTGAAGCCCCTCAGCCTGCTGGGACCGCTGCTGGCAGTCACCGTAAGAGGGAAGAAAGTTCAGGACTGAAACGCCCGTGAAGCGGATACCACGGCGGCAGGGAAGAGCGCGAGACCTTGAGGATCCTGCTGAGCCTCTGAACCCAGCACCCAGAGCCTGCCCGACGCCCAGACGTCCCGTCTCACGGGCAGTGAACTTCCTCCATCTCGCCAGTCGGATGGACTTTACTCACCCTGAGTGTATCCGCTAGCCGGCTTTCAGTCCTATCTAGAAACCCTGGTTCTGACTAAGCATCCCCAAGTATGAGACAAGCCTGGAACAAACAATTCCTGAGCTTTAAGAGAAAGATATGGGGCCGGCGCTGTGGCTCACTTGGTTAATCCTCTGCCTGCGGCGCCAGCATCCCATAGGGGTGCCGGGTTCTAGTCCTGGTTGCTCCTCTTCCAGTCCAGCTCTCTGCTGTGGCCCGGGAGTGCAGTGGAGGATGGCCCAAGTGCTTGGGCCCTGCACCCGCATGGGAGACCAGGAGGAAGCACCTGGCTCCTGGCTTTGGATTGGTGCAGTGCCAGCCATAGCGGCCATTTAGGGGGTGAACCAGTGGAAGGAAGACCTTTCTTTCTGTCTCTCTCTCACTGTCTATAACTCTACCTGTCAAAAAAAAAAAAAAAAAAAGTAACTGAGAAGTGGGTCCAAGAATTCTACAGTATATATACGTATATATGTGTATATATATATATATATATATTTTTTTTTTTTTTAAAGATTTGAGAAGTAGAGCTACAGAGAGAAGGAGAGATGGAGAGAGAGAAGTCTTCCATCTGCCGGTTCATTCCCCAGATGGCCACAACGGCCAGAACTGGGCCAATCCGAAGCCAGGAGCCAGGAGCTGCTTCTTCCAGGTCTCCCATGCAGGTGCAGGGGCCCAAGCACTTGGGATTGGAAGTCGAGCAGCCGGGACACAAACTGGTGCCCATATAGGATGCCAACACCATAGGCGGAAGCTTAGCCCACTGCGCCCCAGTGCCGGCCCCAGGAATTTGTCATCACCTGGTCATCACAGGTTATATAATTCACATCTCTCATCACCAAACATGCTGTATAGCAGAAGGCTCCTCAGAGAAGGGCGCGAAGAAATTCACAGGTAATGAATGGAAACCGCCGGGTCAGAGCGCACTGCACAGGCGTGGTGTCTCGTAAATCATCATCGCTCCACTGGGGAATGGACGGGGCATGCTGGTCCTTTCTCTGCCTAGGCGGTTCCAATATTTACCTTCCTCAGAATGCAACCTCGTCCCTCTCCAATGGATCACCACTCAAATCTGTGAAAATACGTGGCACCTAACAGGCGTGCACTCAACGTCTGCTGGGCAGATCAGCTGCACCAGTCACTGACCAGCTGAGTCACAGAGTGTAAGCTGCAGGGCGGGAGTGTTCGGCCGGGCACTCCAGCTTTCCACGCCCCACATGGGAATGCCTGGTTCAACACCTGACTCATTTCCTGCCTATGCAGAACCTCGAGGACAGACTGACTTCCGGTTCCTGGCTTCAGCCTGGCCGGCCTTTGCTGTTGAGGCCATTTGGAGAGTGAACCGATGGAGGATCTGTCTCTCCCTCCTTCTCTGCCTTTCAAATCAATCAATCTTAAAAGAACAATTGTGAGGCTGGCATTGTGGTGTAGTGGGCTAAGCCTCCACCTGCAGTGCTGCCATCCCACGTGGGCGCCAATTCTGGTCCCAGCTGCTCCTCTTCCCATCCAGCTCTCTGCTATGGCTGGGAAAGCAGTGGAAGATGGCCCAAGTCCTTGGGCCCCTGCACCCACGTGGGAGACCTGGAAGAAGCTCTTGGCTTCGGATAGGCCTGGCTCCGGCAGTTCCGGCCATTTGGGGAGTGACCAGCAGATGGAAGACCTTTCTGTCTCTCCCTCTCTCTCTAACTCTACCTCTCAAGTAAATAAATAAAATCTTAAAACAAAAATTAGTGGGACCAGCATTGTTGCATAGTAGTAAATCTACTGCCTGAGATGCCAGCGTTCCATATGGGTGCTGAGTTGTGTCCTGGCTGCGCCTGCTGATCCACCTCCCTTCTAATGGCCTGGGAAAAGCAGCGAAAGATGGCCCAAGTGTTTGGGCCCCTGCCAATCACATGGGAGAACTGGATGAAGCTGTCCCAGCATGGCCATTGCAGACATCTGGGGGGTAAAGCAGTGGATGAAGATCTCTGTCTCCCCTTTCTCTGTAACTCTGACCTTCAAAATAAATAAATAAATCTTTAAAAAAATTTAGCACTTCTTTACCTTATTTCTACATCTTTTTAGCCTTTTAGAAAGCTAGAATCCCTGAAAACCCAGGGGTAACTGAATTGTTTCTAACGGCTGTTTTACACTTCTGTCAGGCATTCAGTGTCCCTAGTGATGGTGCTAAGTTGGCAGAATAAAGACCACAACTCCACACACTTTAATATCCTGACTATACAGCTCTTTGGCCACTTCACTCCAGACACACATTCAAGATAAACACATACTTACTCAACATTAACTGATGATTTATTTTTCATGTTAAAAGGTTTCAAAATATGTATGTACAAGATAAATAAAACTAGACTCACTGTACAGCAACATACATAAACATACAGGGTCTTTTATAGGATACAAAAAATGACGTCACTGAATTAAAAAAAAATTCAAGAGTGGTAGGAAAATGAGACCATGTCAACAAAGACTGTATTAACTATAACTAAGATGGACCCACACAAACCCCTAAACATCAAAGTGAAATTTCTTTTCGGTGCCTCCTAGCTGCGTGGCTTTCCTCTTCTGTGCTGGGTTGTGTACTCTGGCGTCATCGGCCTCTGGCGGATTATCAAGCACGTCTTCCTCTTCCATCTAAGAGCAGATCAGGTAAAGGTCAGGTCCACAAATGTCAGGATGCACAGAACGGGCTGTGCCACAGTTCCAGGTCCTTCTCGGCCGCAACACTGTACACGGCACTGTGGTATCATACTACCTCCAAAAGCATCTTCTCAATTTTTTTGTGTTAAAATATTTTTATTTCTTTAGGATGTGCTCATTTCCATATCCCTGCAATCTGTGTTCGTTAAATGAGGAAATCTCACCAATTTAAGTTGGGGGAGTTTTTCCTTCTCTCAAGAATGGCCCACAAAAAATGTCAAATTAAAAAAATGTATTATTTCCCCCTACCCCCACCCTTCCCCCTATAAAGTCCTTTGTGATAAAGAAGATAACTTAGAAAAAAAATCTGAGTCACTTCCCTTCTATCCCTGCTACCCTAAAAATTAACATACGTTTATACACAAATTATTCATGCATGTATACATTACTACATATAATTTACACATAACTGTAAGTTATTATAATGGATCATTTATGTATATATATAATTTAACCAGATGCTGCCTGCCCTCTGGTGTCACTGGCAGACGACTGTTAGGAAGAACTTACTACTGGTCACGCTGCCGGGCTATTCTGCTGAGTGACCACGAAGAAGGTTGCAACAGGAGAAGATCAACTGGTCACTCTGGAGTGCAGTACAAACTGGGCCAATCTACTAAACATTCCTTAGAATATACAGACGCATACACACTTAATGAACCAATAAAGGTGGCAAACATCATACCCTCTCTGTTTGTCTTGCATATTTCTCTGTCCACAGCCTGGCATTCTTGAGGAAGACTGGCTTGTTATATTTAAATTCTGAGGACTAAAATGGAATCAAACCAAAGAGTTAATAGAGACAAAATGAGTTGCAGTGGTAGGCCCCAGCTACCACAGCCATCAAAACGTCACACAGCAAGCACTGAGAGTGTAAAGCCAGCAGGACGCCCGCTACGAGGAAACGCAGGTACCTACAATGTCAGCCATCAGCGGGTCATCAGGGTTGGGTTCTGACATGAGCAGCTGAATAGAGGTCAGCACAGTGGCGATGTTGAGGGACGGCCTCCAGGCTCCCTGCACACACAGATACGCAGTTCCTTTTATATTAGGATGTGACGTGCTAATTCGGACTTTACCGATGAAGAAAACACAAAGACACAGAGTCAACTCCTCACCCGTTACTCACTTTTGGTGGCAATTTGAGAACATCCAGACAAATTCTCCCAGCAGAGTCAATGTTTGGATGATAGATTGGAGTCAGAAATCGGATCTGAGGAGGTTCAAACGGGTACCTTTGAATGCACAGACCAGAGGGTTTTCATTATAATATTGCTCTGAACACATTTTAAATAGTTTCCTGGTCTCTCACTCACACAAACACTTATGTATGTACATAAATGCTGGTGTTAATATCAAAAAATATCAGGAAGATGGCCTTCAGGGGGCAAATCTCTTCTAATTTCTGAACACTTGCGCATGTATCTCCTATGAATAAGGTCAGTCCCCTATATAACTGCAGTGCTATTACACCCATGAAAAAATTTTAAAATAATTCTTTAATATCACTTACTAATCAAATTTCCTTAACTATCCCCTTCTTCCCCAATTTTTTTATAGTTGGGTTTTCAAACAGACCACATTAAGATTTATACATTGCATTTGGTTATCACATCACTTAGTGAGACACAAGCCTTGGAAAGTTCCTAGTCTATTTCCAGAACTTAGGTATGACATGACCATAAACTACCCTCTCAGTAGGCTCAAGTCAGTCCAGGATCTGACCCGGGGACCAGATATCCATATTTCATCACATATTCAATTCTCCCCTTCCCCATTTTACACAAAGCTACTACTGTGAACTTACTGATCAGAGCCTTGAAGGAGACCTGAATAAAACGGGGCCTCAACACTGAAATGAAAGGATGTGGCTGCTGCCATGGGCCTGGGCACGGAGGGATGGGAGGTGACTGCTGAGTGCGTGTGCAGCTGCAGGCTGGGAGCATCTGCAGATAGATGCTGGCGGTTCAACAATGTGAAAACATCAATGCCACTTAAAAATGGGCAAAATGGTCAATTTTGTTATGCATATTTAACCACAATCTAAAAAGCGGGCAGCTTACACGTGACCTAGTCAATTATTTTAGAAAAGGAAATTGAACTCCAAAAAAGACAAAATAACTTGCAGAAGTCACATGAACTCATGATAAGAACAGGATTAAAATCCAGGTCCTTTAATCCCTACACTTCAATACTCTTATATCATTCTGTTTTATAATAATTATATCTTATACTGTAAGTTGAAAACCGAATTCCTCTCTAACTCTGCCTTTCAAATAGATGATGTTTAAAAATAAATTAAAAATTCACACTAACCTCTCAGGAATGATAACTTCCAGCTTGAAAACACCTTTTTCATAAGGTGTGTTAGATCCACCTAGTATTTCTTAAAGAAGAGAAACAAGAATGAAAAGTTAAGAGAATCAGATGATTTGAACTACCACACTACATGGACCAAATGAGGCCTATGCTCCTAAAAGAAATAAGGTCTAAGACAATCATTGTCTCAGGGGCCTTCCCAAGTCTTCAGGCAATGCACCATGGTGATGTAGCCAAAAAGTCGATGGTGTCAGACAAAAGACACACGGAACATCTTTCATGTGAGTTGCAAAATGCTGGCCCCAAGACCAAACAGAACATGCAGCTTTGCCTGTTTGCAGTGTTCCCGTAACTTGTTTCCTGAATGCTTTCACAGACATTTGAGACGGTGATTTTGGGTTAGCAACGCTTTGGAACTACTGCACACTCCTGGCTACAAACAAGCAAAAGATGGCATAAAAAGTCAAGCAGCAAGAAATGGCAAGCAGCCTCCTACAAATGTGAACAAATTAGGGCGGGAAGATGGTGGGGCACTTTCATCTGACAACTACTCCCTCCTCTAGAAGAATCTAGAAAAGCTCCGCTTCAGCACAGTTTTCAGTGGGGCCATGACTCCCCTGATACCTACGAGCTCGCAGATCATCCATCTGGTCCTTTTCTTGCCAGCACGTGATGCCTGGGGGCGGCTCTGTGGCCAACATGTGCAACTCTCTCTTCAGGCGCGAAGCCCTCTGCATGATCCCCAAGTAAACGTGAAACCACACACAGGTCTCCACGCACACGAAGAGCCGGCTGCGTGCACTGGGGGAGAAAAGAGGCAGCCATGAGGCAGTAATAGTGACTGTGGAATCTTCAACACATGGCTTCAATTTAGTAAAGGACAAAAAAGTTTGGTAAGAATAGATTCCTCTTATTAATTTCTGTTGTGACAAAGGAGTCAGTTTTCCCCAGTTCCTTTTTACAAGCTTAGCAGCTATTCCAATTTTTAAAATAAAGAATAAAAAATGTAAGAACTTCTACAACCCAAAAATACAACGGGTTTCAAATGCATGCCTGTTTAAACTAAGGAATTATAAATGCACACAGGGCCTGGGTCTGATGCGCCCCACTGTACCCTCAGCGTGCCTGGCACACGACGGGACTTAACAAATCCCAGCTGAGCACCCGCTCGGCAGGGCAGAAGTCAGCACTGACGTTCAGAAGCTGATGCGTGAACGCCTCGGGTTCCCTCCCTGTGCTGGGGATTCCCTATTCTCCCAACTCAGGAGTCCCACTGCACCAGGTATTCCACCTTCCTCGAGTATTTCCAATCCTTCCCGCACCACCAAATATGCTCAGGTCTCTCTCATGTAAAATAAAAACTCACACACACATCTACTCAGCACCCTTCTCAACCCCAGCTCTCCCTCTGGCTATTACCCAAACGATTCCAAGTCGTCGGTAAAGCATTACAAATATCACCTTCCAGCTTGCGGCTTGTCTTTCCACTTTATTCAGTCACACTTTTTTTTTTAAGATTTTATTTATGTATTATTATTATTATTATTTTGCCACGCAGAGTTAGACAGTGAGAGAGAGAGACAGAGAGAAAGGTCTTCCTTCCCTTGGTTCACTCCCCTAATGGTTGCTACGGCCGGCGCTGCACCGATCCAAAGCCAGGAGCCGGGTACTTCCTCCCGGTCTCCCATGCAGGTGCAGGGACCCAAGTACTTGGGCCATCCTCCGCTGCCTTCCCAGGCCACAGCAGAGAGCTGGACTGGAAGAGGAGCAACCGGGACTAGAACCTGGGATGCCAGAGCCACAGGCAGAGGATTAGTCTAGTGAGGTGCTGCGCTGGCCCCAAACTCACACTCTTCATGTTAATTTGATCAACTAAAATTTTTACATTTGTACTTTTCATGTATCAAATTTCTCATTATCCTGAAATTCAAAGATATTTCCCTACTGGATTATCCTTCAAATTCTTTCTTTCCCCTTGAACAGAATTTGATTTTACTTTAAAAAAAAAAAAGATTATTTTATTTGAAAGGCAAAGTTAGAGAGGGAGAGAGAGAGCTCTTCCATCCACTGGTTCACTCACCAAATGGCTGCAATGGCCAGAGCTGGGCTAATCGGAAGCCAGGAGCTTCTTCTGGGTCTCCCACGTGGGTGCAGGGACCCAAGCACTTGGACCACCTTCCACTGCTTTCCCAGGTGCATTAGTAGGGAGTTGGATTGGAAATGAGGCAGCTGGGACTTGAACAGGCGCCCATAGGGGATGCTGGCACTGTAGGCGGTGGCTTTACCCACTATGCCACAGGGCTGGCCCCTTGATTTTACTTTTTAAATGGACACGTCATAATTGTAGATATTCATGGGGTGCAGTGTGGTACGCTGATACATGTATACAACCAGTATCATGTGCACAAATCAAGGTGATCGTCATCTCTAACACGTACCGTTCCCTGAGGTGAGAACATTCACAATCCTCTCTTCTAGCTACTTTGAAATAGATTTTGTGTTTTTTAAAAAAGGTTTTATTTGGGACCCAGCGTTGTAGTGTAGTGGGTAAAGTTGCCACCTGCAGTGCCAGCATACCCTATGGGCACTGGTGCGTGTCCTGGTTGCTCCGCTTCTGATCCGGCTCCCTGCTATGGCCTGGGAAAAGCCGGGGAAGATGGCTCAGGTCCTTGGGCCCTGCACCCGCGTGGGCGACCAGGAAGAGGCTCCTGGCTTCAGAGCGGCCCAGCTCCGGCCGTTGCGGCCAATTGGGGAGTGAACCAGCGGATGGAAGACCTCTCTCTCTCTCTGCCTCTCCTTCTCTCTGTGTAACTCTTTCAAATAAATAAATAAATCTTTTTAAAAAATATGTAACAAGTAAAAAGTCTAAGACGGGCTCTTAACCAAAAAATTTAAGTTTAGGATACCCTAAGGATTGAAATAGTGAATTTCTTTTAATACTTAAACCTGAGAATAAAATCACATATACTTCATGTAGATACAGGAAAGGGTGATGTGTGGTATTATTTCACTGGCTACTCCAATCAATACAAAAAGTATTCATCAAAAATAGTAACTTTTCTGAGATACACTAGTAAAAAAAAAAGATAGCATTTATTTAATAACTACATAAATGACCTAAAATCTATAATGCTGCACTTTCAGCAACATTAAAGATGTCAAGGGGTCACGGACACTTTCAAACTATTTCAAGTATATATTCAAATATATTTTCAGAGGAAAGATACATGCTACAACACATCCGGTGGTCCAAAAAGACCTCAAGCCACAGACCTACTAGATAGCAAAGACCGTCATACTCTACATCATCAATAAGTCACCTTTTGTTCCATTAGAAAGTTTTTTGAGGGCAAGTTCCTATTTTCCTTCTTTGATTAGGTAAGTGCCTGGCTTAATAACAAACTGTTAATGAATGGTGAGAAATCAGGTGGAGCCTTCACACAAAAGGCCCCATCTGGACACGCAGTCTTGGCATAGTCACATCTCCGGATCTGGTACTCGGCAGGAAAGCTAAATTCCACTGGGTTCGGATGCACTGGTTCTTACTATACTCACTCACAAAGACTTGAACTAACCAAGGGCCAATTAACTTGTAAAAGCTACAGCAAAAACTTTAATTCCTCACATTCTCCGAGTTATTTCTGTTTGGGAAACTAACTATAACCAGATTACCTGGGGAGCAGACGGCGGAGTTAGCCGTGGGAACATCTGCGATAACCACCAACTGGGACGCCTCGTTCGGATCACCGGGAGCGTCCAAAGAACTCTAAACCTGAGCGCCGGCTGAGTCAGGACGCTCTTCTTCAATCAACTTAGCAAAGACGAATTTTAGTCCGCTGGCTTTCTCTCTCTCTCTTTTTTAAATCTCGGGGCATGATGCTCCCCCACAACTAAGGTTCTTTCAGAAATAAACAACCGATCCTGTAAGCAAGCTCCCACACGGAGAAGAATCAGTAACTCGACTTCCTTCATGTAAATTACTCTTCGGACTTTCTCCAAATGCCACCTCCTGGGGCGGGTTACCAGGTCATCCACCTCGCGGGCTTCTCGGTAAGCCATTGCCGAGAAGGTAAAACCAACAGCCACGGCGGCGTGCCTCGGTACGAGGGAGAGCCGAGCGTCCCTGGCCGCAGCCTCGGGCTTCCGCCACGCTGCCCGTGTCCCCGGGTCCTGCCGGACGGCCACCCCGCGCCCGCGTTTCACCGGCCTCGGGCAGCGGCCCCCTCGGGGCGACTCGTGAGGACCGAGCCCCAGCCTCCTCCAGGTCCCCGGTCTCCAGACCTGGAGTTTGTCTGCAAAGTTCCCACGCGCCCACTGCCCCGGAGCCTCAGCCCGACAGCGGCGAAGGAGGAGAGCAAAAGTCCCGCGTGGGCCCCACACAGGACTCCTTCCCGCCACGACCGCTGCGACTCGTTCAGCGACGCCGGAACCCGGAGAATTACCTGCAGCGACTCACCTGAACGCGGCAGCGCGACCACTAACCGGATTCTGGCGTCGGCGCGGGAACAGACGGTTGGCGTAGCTCCGCCTCCAGCCAGGCGAGGGCTGTGATTGGTCCGCAGCAAGCCCACGAGCGGAACGCAGCCGCCTATTGGCCAGCGCTCTGAGAGCGCGGCCGCGCACGCTGTATTCGAATGGGAGCGCGCGCCAGCCGCGGGCTGCTCCTTGGGGCCAGGCCCTCAGACCGCGTCTCACGACCGGGGGTGACCCGAGTTCTGCGGGGGCGACTGTGTCGGGGCGAGGTCGGAGCTGGAACTCACCTCACAGGGGAGGAGCAATGAGAGGAACCGGAAAAAACTTAATCTGGAGGAGGGAGCATCTGATTGCTGTCTTCATTCATTTTAAATACTTTTCTCGTGGAAGATGTTTATTGCTCCAGCAGATCAAAGGATGAAAGTTAAAGGGTTGAGCACTTTCTCTCAAGCCTTAAGAACTCTTGGAGCTGGCGTTGTGTTCTAGCAGGTTAAGCCTCCTCCTGCGGCGCCGGCATCGCGTATGGACCCGGCTGCCCCACTGCGTCACAGCAGGCAACCTGGGAAGTACTGAGTTCCGTCATGGTGGAAGAATTCAAGTCCAAATTCAGTAATCATCCGTCAGGAAGAGTGCGTAGGGATCCTTGCCCCGGGCGGAAGTTCGGAAGGCGGATTTTGAAGCCGTCTAGAGCGTGTGGTGTTTCCTGGCCCGGGAGGTACCTCTATCGCTGAGCCAACCTGGACTTCTCAGAGTCAAGCCGCCACCTGCGCGCCTTGGCCGCGCCCTTCAAGTCCCCGCAGCTCGGCTTCCATCCAGCTCCTCCCGCTGACGCACCTGTGCAGGCAGCAGCGGATGGTCCAAGTGCCTGCGCCCCTGCCTCCCGCGGGAGAGACCCCGATGGAGCCCCTGGCTCCTGGCCTCAGGCTGGACAAGCCCTGGCCGTTGCAGCCATGTGGGGAGGAGCCTGTGGAGTGGAACAAGTGAAAGGAAGATCGTTCGCTGTGTCTCTTCCCCTGCCTGTCACTCTGCCTCTTAAATAATAAATAAATAAATAAATAAATAATAAAATAAAAAAAAGGCTCCGGGCTGACTCGGATCTGAGGGACAGCGCTGGAACTTGATAGCTTTGGGGAATACGGTGGGAAGGGAAAGAAAACCAGCCCATCTCCCTTTCTCAGCCCCGTGTGTGGCACAGAGTAGCTCAGCCTTAACTTGCAAACCAGTGCAGCAGTGATTTCCACATTGAGTTAAGTGGAAGCCGCTTCCCCACGACTGGGCAGGCGCGTTCTCAACATCCACACATCCCCTGGGACGCCTTCTACCTGGGGCTCCTCCTCTTAGCTGGAGGGAAGAACCTCTGTGAATCATTGCGAGACACCAGCGATCCTGTCGCTACCCAGCCTAGTTTCCCCTTAGCTGTGGGGCTCTGCCTTGACCGTTGGCATTTCCTCATTGCGGTGAGATCATTCCTGTCACGATGCAGGAGTCACCGCTGATTTCACTCCTCCTGGTTGTGTTTTCAGCCTTTCACTTAGTTTCACTTTTATTTTCACTGTGTTTCTTTATTTCCTTCCTTCTCCAGCTGTAACTCTGTTATAGTTCAGTCTTCAAGAAATACCCACAATTTTGGCAATGGAAAAGAAATGCAAAGGAAAGGGATATGGCAGGTGCGGGTAAAAAGGCAGGATGCGAACGGAAGAAAGAGGACCCCATGGATTACGTGTGCAGTGTCCATTTTCCCACCAAGGGGAGATACGTTAACTGGAAGGAGCACAGGCCAGGCTGAAAGATTTTCTTTTCTTTCTTTCTTTTTTCTTAAGATTTATTTATTTATTTGAAAGGCAGAGTTACAGAGAGACAGAGAGAGAGAGAGAGAGAGAGAGAGAGAGATCTTCCATCCGTTGGTTCACTCCCTAGATGGCCACAACAGCCAGAGCTGAGCCAATCTGAAGCCAAGAGCCAGATTCTTCTGGGTCTCCCACGCAGGTGCAGGGGCCCGAGAACTTGGGCCATCTTCTGCTGCTTTCCCAGGCCACAGCAGGGATCTGGATCGGAAGTAGGGACGCCAGGACTTGAACCAGCGCTCATATAGGATGCCTGTACTGCAGGCAGCGGCTTTACCCGCTGCCCCACAATGCTGGCTCCGAAAGATTTTCAAAAACTGTCAAAAGATGTCACTGGTTTTAAAGATGGAGTATTCTAATTTGTTTTTTTATTTTTTAAATTTTTAAAAAAGGTTTATTTATTTATTTGAAAGTCAGAGTTACACAAAGAGAGGAGAGGCAGAGACAGAGAGAGAGAGAGAGAGAGAGAGAGGTCTTCCATCCTCTGGTTTACTCCTCAATTAGCCACAATGGCTGAAGCTGCGCTGATCCAAAGCCAGGAGCCAGGAGCTTCTTCTGGGTCTCCCACGTGGGTACAGGGGCCCAAAGATTTGGGTCATCTACCACTGCTGTCCCAGGCCATAGCAGAGAGCTGGATCGGAACTGGAGCAGCCAGGTCTCAAACTGGTGTCCATAAAGGATGCCGGTGCTTCAGGCCAGGGCGTTAGCCCACTGTGCCACAGTGCCAGCCTCTCATTTATTTTTTAAAGTGTAGGTATGAACAATTGTTTTATAAATACTCTTCACTTTATACAGGAACATATCATAGCTGGCTCAGTACATTTAAAAATACAAAATTTATTTATACACAGGGTTGTCAGGACTTACTTGTATTTGGAAATATATTTTCTTTAGAGTATTTATGTAGGAGATTTAAAGTATTTAATAAGAAGATTGTATAAGTTTGTTCTTGGAGAGCCCTGGTTGGTAGAATATGTTTTAGGAAAACACTAATAAGATTTTAATTTTGAAAAAAATTCAAGTTACTATAGGTAGATTAATGTTTTTGTGCATTTTTTGCTGAGTCAGTTACATTGATTAGATCATAATCATTACTACATTAGAAATCACCAAGCTGGAAGATACATTCCTTTCTCTCCAGGTAGTTATACACTTAAATTACTCAAGGAATTTATTATTTATATTTTTATGTTAAATATCTAGAGAAGGTATTGCACTCTACCATCACAAAAAGAAAAAAGAAAGGGCTGTGATGCAGCAGGTTAACGCCCTGGCCTGAAGCACCGGCATCCTTTATGGGGGCCATTCCAGTCCTGGCTGCTCCAGTTCCAATCCAGCTCTCTGCTATGGCCTGGGACAGCAGTGGAAGATGGCCCAAGTCCTTGGGCCCCTGTACCCACGTGGGAGACCCAGAAGAAGCTCCTGGCTCCTGGCTTCAGATCGGCACAGCTCCGGCCGTTGCGGCCACTGGGTAATGAACCAGAGGATGGAAGACCTCTCTCTCTCTCTCTCTGTCTCTGCCTCTCCTCTCTTTGTGTAACTCTGACTTTCAAATAAATAAATAAATCTTAAAAAAAAAAAAAAGGAGAAGGAAGAGGGAAAAGAGGAGTAGGAGAAGAGAAGCAAATAAAATCATACAGTGAGGAAGTGCTTCTGCTCCCTGGACATTCCTGGTAGTGAGATTGATTTCTTGTTGAAACTTAAGCTCAAGCCTTTTGGGAAAGTAGGACTTGGCTAATTTTAGCCTATTTATACAACTGGAGCCAGATACTTCTTGTTTCTGAATGTAAAAAAAAAAAAATACAGTCAAAAGAAACAATGCTATTGATCCCTGAAATGTTTACCCCAGTATCAGAAGAGAAGTGTTTCAGTATACTAGGAATCACATGTGTTATATATTTGAGCAGCTATTTGTACCAGAAACATAATACTAAAATAGTGCCCGAGGATTTCCAAGAGGGGTAAGCTTGTAGCTAAGTATTTACTCCTATTTGATTAATATCAGTTTCTTTTTTTTTTTTTTTTTTTGACAGGCAGAGTGGACAGTGAGAGAGAGAGACAGAGAGAGAAAGGTCTTCCTTTGCCGTTGGTTCACCCTCCAATGGCTGCCGCTGCAGCCGGCGCACCGCGCTGATCCTGGCAGGAGCCAGGAGCCAGGTGCTTTTCCTGGTCTCCCATGGGGTGCAGGGCCCAAGCACCTGGGCCATCCTCCACTGCACTCCCTGGCCATAGCAGAGAGCTGGCCTGGAAGAGGGGCAACCGGGACAGAATCCGGCGCCCCAACCGGGACTAGAACCCGGTGTGCCGGCGCCGCAAGGTGGAGGATTAGCCTATTGAGCCACGGCGCCGGCAATATCAGTTTCTTTTTAAGAACGATTTATTTTATTTATTTGAAAGACAGAGTGACAGAGAGAGAGGAAGACAGAGATCCTTCATCCACAGGCTCACTCCCCAAATGGCCACAACAGCCATGGTTGGGCCAGGCTGAACCCAGGAGCCCAGGATTCCATCCAGGTCTCTGACGTGAGTGGCAGGGCCCCAAGTGCTTGGACCGGCATCCACTGCCTTCCCAGGCACATCAGCAGGGAGCTGGCTCAGAAGCAGATGGGATGCCCCCGTTGTAAGCAGCAGCTTAACCCGTTGTGCCACAATGATGACTCCAGTATCGATTTCTCTTTTATTCCTTAGAAACTCTATTTGGGAGCTTGTGGAATTTTAAATATCAGTAAGTGACTGAGATGGAATACCAAGAGTTCCCTGTTGACAATTACAAAGTAAATCTCACAAAGATTTTTAATTACCATAAATGATAAGACAGGCTGTTTTATGTTAACTGTATATGAACACATATAATAAGTAAAACAAGGTTGTATAATGTATTATTTGACTTTTATGCACATTGTTATTCCCAAAGATGCTGAAAGACTTACTTAGTATTTATAAGGTATTTAAGAACACCCAACCGAACCTTATGGTGGACACACTGTGATTACACATGATAATCTTTTGAATTGATATGTCACTTTTCATTTGAGGCTCTCAATTCACTGATTTGCTTATTTCTTCAGTGCATGATTTCCAGTTCACTTCGGGGGAAATTGAGGAACAGGCAAAGGTTTACATGACAGAATATATTAAAGTGTCCTTTTATAATGCCCCAATCATTTGTCCAAGTTATTTTTTTAAGATTTTATTTATTTATTTGAAAGGTAGAATTACAGACAGTGAGAGGGAGAGACAGAGAGAGAGGTCTTCCATTCACTGGTTTACTCCCCAAATGACTGAAACGGCTGGAGCTGGACCAATCCGAAGCCAGGAGCCAGGAGCTTCCTCCCAGTCTCCCACGTGGGTGCAGGGGCCCAGGGACTTGGGCCGTCTTCTACTGCTTTCCCAGGCCTTAGCAGAGAGCTGGATGGGAAGAGGAACAGCTGGGACTAGAACCAGTGCCCGTATTGGATGCTGGTGCCACAGGCAGAGGATTAACCTGTGCCACAGCACTGGCCCCTGTGCAACAGTTTTTCATGAAAAATTTCGAACGTCCAGAAAAATTATTTTTTAAGATTTATTTATTTATTTGAAAGGCAGAGTTACAGAGAGGGAGGGAGGGAGAGAGAGAGAATCTTCTATCCGCTGGTTCACTCCCACAGATGGCTACTGGAGCTGAGCCAATCCAAAGCCAGGAGCCAGGAGCTTCTTCCGGGTCTCCCATGTGGGTGCAGGGGCCCAAGGACCTGGACCATCTCCTACTGCTTTCCCAGGCCACAGCAGAGAACTGGATTGAAGTGGAGCAGCCAGGTCTTAAACCTGCACCCTTATGGGATGTTGGCACTGTAGGTGGCGGCTTCACCAGCTACTTCACAACTCGGGCGCCAGGAACATTTAAGAATCTAATACTTGCATATATTCTCATTCATTAGTAATAGTACATTTAATTCTGTTTTGTCCAGGGTGGAGGGTCTGGAGGGTATAGTTATTAGATCAGTCAGAAGGACATAGATTTTATAACCAAGTTCATGCTGAATATGAAAATGTCCCACTTCCTGCCTTAAGAGAGGTTTAGTATGTTCCATGTTATCTTTCTGAAGCTTTGGGGGAAAAATCACGAAGATCAAACATCCATTCTGTCTTACAATAATTTAAGATTGATGACAAGCGTCGGGGAGGAGGAGGAAGAAAGAAGGAGAATCAATACTTATGAGCAGACGCGTGCTAGGCCTCCCGTGTGCATGACCACACCTGACCCACACCGACCCTATCAGCTGTCGATTCCTACACAGGGATCGGCTCGAAGCCGCGAGTACACAGTCCATGGGCGTGGCTTCCATTGAATTCTCCACTACCCCGGGCGTGGAGAAAGTGTCCTGTGGACTGCAACACGCAGTCCTGAATGTACCACTCACGGGTACATTTTCTGTGACGTCAAACGTGTCAGCGCACGGGACACGGACCCTAAGGGCACTTTGCTGCTCATTCTCCCCACTAGAAAACGCAGATCATGAGGGCCACCTTTCCACCCCACAGGTGCGATGCGATCTTTGGGCAGCTCGGATTAGTTAGCAGTCACGACGAGAATAAACTACGACTCCCAAAATGCCCAGAGGAAGAGGCTGACAGGGGGTTGGAGAGGCAGTCCCAGCTTTGGGGCAAAGGTGACCCCGCGGGCTCCAGCGGCGGAGGACGGAGCAGCGGGTTCTGCCCCTCTTCTGCGGCATCCTGGGATGTGTAGTTCACTTACGGCCACGTCGTGCCCTTAGGGCAGGGAAGAGTACTACAAGTCCCGTGAGGACCCGGGGCCCGGGCAGCGCCTGCGTAGTGAAGCCAAAGGAGCGCGCGGGCGGTGCTAGCGGCGGGAGGAGTAAAGATGGCGGCGCGGCGGTCTCCGCCTTCTCCTCCTGGCTGAAGCGCTGCTAGGGAGGCGGGCAGCGGCACCCCGAGCCGCTACAGCAATCCAGTGGTGATATAGTTTCGGCAGCTGCCGAGGCCGGAGCCATGGCGGAGCTGGAGCACCTGGGCGGGAAGCGGGCAGAGTCGGCGCGAATGCGGCGCGCTGAGCAGCTGCGGCGCTGGCGGGGCTCGCTGACAGAACAGGAGCCCGCGGAGCGGCGAGGCGCGGGGCGACAGCAGCCGACGCGGCGCGGGAGCCCCAGGGTCCGCTTCGAGGACGGCGCGGTCTTCCTGGCCGCCTGCTCTAGCGGGGACACCGACGAGGTGAAGAAGCTCCTGGCCAGAGGAGCCGACATCAACACGGTCAACGTGGACGGCTTGACAGCCCTGCACCAGGTAACTCCCCCGCCGGCCTCCCCGGCGTCCGGCCCCTGCGAGCCGCCCGTGTCCCCGCCGAGCCCTCGCGCTCGGGCACGGCCTCTCTGGGCCACCTGCCCCCGCGGGGGTCGCCCCGACGCCCGGTCAGCGTTTGTATTTCCCTCCGCCTGCTCGGGCTGTCATGGTTCCTGGGGATCGGGACCCGGTGTTATCCCTGTCGAGGAGCCGCCCGGCCCGTGTGCCCTGCCCCGCGGCGCTCGTGGGCACAGCCCTGTGTCCTTGCAGAAGATTCAGGTCTCTGCCCGCGTGGCCCCATTCAAGAACAGCTTAGATTCCTCAGTACGTGTGTGCCCTGGCGAAGGCGCGCGGGTCTCGGGGAGCTCCCGGGACGCCCCGACCTCCTTGTTAGGGTGTCTTATTTTCTTTCCAACAGTGCCACCGGCTACGAAAGGGCTTCCCATGAGATCTGGGCTACGAAGTCCCTTCCGGCTGTCCGATACTTATGGACTAGGCGTTCTGTTTTTCTTTCTTTTTTTTTTTTCTGACTTGCTCTTTAGAAATCACATGTGTATAGCTTGTGGTAGACGGATTGAGGATGGCCTGACAGTTCCATGCTTGAAAATAACACCTTCGCTTTCGTCTTATGCAACAATATTCTGTATATTCCGACTGCCCTAGCTAACTCCGCCCTCTCTCCCCAGTTGAACTTCATCAGTTATTTTGGTGAGCTGAGAGCTGGGCTCCTACTCTTAAATCTTCCTTAGTTTTTCTTCTGTCTGGGCAAAGTGAGTGCACAAGTATCCACTTCTAAATAATTAACCTTATGTCAGAAGCCAATAGCTTGAAATCCCTCCTCATTTTGTTTCCATCCATCTCTTTCAAGGTGGAAGAGATTTCTCTTTTCATCCACCTTTTTTCTTCCGCACCAAAGGTAGCGACAGTGATTGTCTAGTGCTTTGCTGTTTAAAAATTACTAATTCTGTGAAAAAAAATTCCTTCTTCTGTGCTCCCTGACGGAGTCTCCCTGGTGATCGGCTGAAGTGGGTGTGGCAGGTGTTACTCCCATTTTACAGAGGAAATGAAAGCTCAGACAAAGCTGTTGCCTGTGCAAGATTAGAAGGGAGAGAGAGAACAGCCTCTACATACGTATTTGTCAGATTTAAATTGCCGAGCGCCGTCTCCCCCTTACAAAGGAGATGAGTATAAAAATAGGATAGGAACCAAGAGAGCCACGTGAACTCGTTGGGAAAGTAACTTCTTATTTTTCAAGTGTGTTTGGGGTGTGAAAGAGATTGAATTCTGGGTTCTTGATAAAATCTTTTTATGGGTTCATGGAAGATAGGGAAACAGAATCCAGCTTTCTAGTCCGTGTGCTCTTTTTGGAATCGCTCTTCCGCTGAAGCAGTTTTCCGAGTGTAACTCAGTAGCCTTGTTTCCTTTAAGGTTACCCGGCTAGCGAAGCCTGGTCCTCCCCACACCCGTTTAGATTTGGCCCTGAGGAAAGCCCTGCCTTTGCGGTCACCCCTGGTGGATCTCCTCCCCACAGCAGGGAACCGCTTTTCTGGGCTCAGAACCTTTCCTGCCCTCTTCTCCGCCAGCCCAGAGCAGGGAGTGCAGCGTCTCTCAGCTCAGCTTCGTCTTCAGTGGTCTCCTGCAGGAGCGGTGACAGCTATGGGTTGTCCCCCGCACCCCGCCCCAGCTGCAAATGCGCCATGGACAGGGCTGTAGTCAGTGTGAGTCAGATTCAGGTAGAGGTTAAGCTTCTCAAAGACTTGAGGTTGAAACAAGCTTCTGTTGAGACACCATCTGTTTGCATCAAGACAAGTAGCCTTTCTAAAGAGTTACAGTGTTTCTCCCTGGTGGGAAGCACTCTAAAAGGTTATTTTGAAAGGTTAGACCACAGCCACCAGGAGCCGAACCAGCTACATTAGGACTGATTGTCCCGTGAGATGTGAGTGGTGTAGTTATCTGAATCATTCAGTCACCACACCCACCTGGTAGAGAGCCTGATATGCGTTATGTGGATGGTTGCTTTGCCGTGGCTACTTGGCCAGCTGTGGATTATTGTCTTGACCTGTTGGAAGAGCCCCACGTGATACTGGGGGGGGATTTTTCTCCTCCTCGCACAAGGTCACTGCTGACCCTGCACTGCAGGTTGCAGCGCCTTGGTGCTGCTTCTGACTTGGAGACTTTCTTTCTTGGCAGTCTTTGTTAAGGCCACGAGGTGCTTGAGTCAAAGATAACGAACTCCAGGAGTCCTATTAATAATACTTGAAATAAGCTGGGTAAGAAGGATCTCAGAGGGTAGGCCAACTCTGATGAAAACCTTAGACACTGAAGTAGGCTAACTCCGTTTCAGTGAATAAATTAAGATTTGTTGTCTGGGCGTTTTGCGTCCAAGAGTGCCCAAGGAGAGCGGTGTTAATCTGCTGAAGGAACCCTTGAAAGCACTTGTTTGCTCACACAGGAACTCCTGTTGTACTTGTGTGTGCGCACTGTAAGGAAGGGGTGTGGGTGCTAATGATGCCGCATAGACTGCTGCTTTTCAAAGTTTCTTATTTGCGTATTTTACTTATTTGACAGGTAGAATTAGACAGAGAGATAGAGAGAAAGGTCTTCCTTTTCCGTTGGTTCACTCCCAAATGGCCACTACGGCTGGTGCTGCACCGATCTGAAGCCAGGAGCCAGGTGCTTCCTCCTGGTCTCCTATGTGGGTGCAGGGCCCAAGGACTTGGACCATCCTCCACTGCCCTCCCGGGCCACAGCAGAGAGCTGGACTGGAAGAGGAGCAGCCGGGACTAGAACCCGGTGCCCATATGGGATGCTGGCGCTGCAGGCAGAGGATTAACCAAGTGAGCCATGGCACCAGCCCTGAAGTTTCATTTATTTATTTAGCAATGTTGATTATTAGCACCTATCTTGGTATCCTTAGAATTATGGTGATCTTAGGTGCACTAGGTCTAGAAACAGGCTCTTAGAAAGTGTACCTACCAGATCACTGGGCTGTTGTTAGAAATACATATTTGCTTTTGGAAAGGAGATCATCTAAGATTTGTTAAAAAGACGCCTGCTTATTCCTTCAGTCCCTGCTCCAGTGGTGCTCTCCTGTGGACTCTGTGTGGTGAGGGACACTGAAGTCAGCCCACACAGATCTCGTCTCTGGCCCAGTCTGGTCAGTCTTCAGGGAAGGACACCAGAGAGATTAGAATAATTCCATACTTGACTCAGAAAGTCAGGTTGGCTTCATGATGGTCTCAGGGTTCAAGTTTTGACTCCTAGGATGAGCACAGACTTGATTCAATTGTAGCCCTGATCATAGAGCTGCCTCAAATTGACCTGGCAGCCTCAGGTAAGTTAGAATTATGTATATATCCCTGGAAGAGATGTGGACACAGGGACAGATGAGGGAGGGAAGGTAGGCAGAGCAGTTTATGTTTGCAGTGAGACAGAAGACGCCTAAGATGACAGTGTAGTTAGTTCACTATTAAAGTCCTATATTATGTGTGCCAACTTGTGTGGCGAAATAAAATTGCATTTGTAACTCTTTTTCTTTTATTCAGAATTCTTTACTTCTCTCGGAGTTCATCTGTGAAGTGACCTTTGCCTTATCCTGGACACTGAATTCTGTGTAGTGTCTGACTCAAAGCAATATGGGATTCAGAAAAATCTGTTGGCTCCTTCATTATTGTGCATCCTGAGTCATTTCACATGGGCTGATGTGAGCATCAGACTGTGTTGGGCACCTGCCCCTGGCCATGTCCAACTTTCCACACCGTTGTAGATTTCAAAGCCAGATTGGGAAATTAGGCTGGTTTTTCTTTTGTTTGAAAGTACAGATGCAATTGACTTGTTTGTTCCTTAGCCACATCTCTCCCCCTCTTGTTTGTTTGTTTAGTTGAGAGACAAGGAGGAGCTCCCATTTGCTGGTTCACTCCCCAGATGCCACAATGACTGGGGCAGGGCTGGGCTGAAGCTGGGAGCTGGTCTCCCAGGAGGGGGTCAGGAACCCGATTACTTGGGCCATCCCTGCTGCCTCCCAGGGTTTCCATTAGCGGGAAACTGGTCAGGAGAGAGAACCAGAGGGATGTGGGCATCTTAACTGGTGTCTTAACTGCTAGGCCTAACACCCAGCCCTTCCCATGTTTTTGTTTTTTCACTTTGTTTGAAAGGCGCGCGCGCGCACACACACACACACACACACACACATGAGGGGGATGGGGGGAGAAGGAAGCAAGTGAAACTGAGATCAGCCGTACTGGACCAGGCTGGGGCCAGGAGTCTGGGACTCAGTCAGATGTGCCACAGGGGCAAGGACCGCAGTCCTGGAGTCTTCACCTGCGGCCTCCAGGGTGCACATTAGCAGGAAGTGGAGGGTTTGGGACTCAGACTGGGGACTCTGATATGGGAGGCAGGCATTCCTACTGGGCAGCTTACCTGCCGTGCACCTTCCACATTCCCCACGTCCTGGCAAGCGACTGCAACTGCCATTGACTTTGAGAGTCCTGTCTGCATGCTTTAGGACAGGCAGGCTGTTGGTGTACGTAAGCACTGTTCTGCTAAAGAGCTGTAACTTAAATCGTTGTCTGTTTTTATTTCAAAATATTTTATATTTAAGATATACTTTATATATGAGTCACTCCTTTTTGTGTGGCATTCTCTGTATGTAGTCGTACAGCTTCCACCGTAATCACGATATGGAACCTGACCATTTCTCCCAGCGCTTCTTACTGCGCCTTTGGATGCATCCAGTCCGCTTCGTGGGCACAGCCCCGCCCACGGCAGCAGCCAGCACTTTCAGTCCCCGGAGCCGTAGTGCGTGTGGATAAAATCAGGCCATGTGAAGCGCCTGGGTCCGGCTGCTTTTGTGTGCCACGTTGCGTTGTTGCGGGTTGCGGCGCTTTGTTGGTCGTTCTTACTGAAAGATGCACCACAGTTTGTCCATTTGTCACTAGAAGGACATTTGGGTTATTTCCAGCTTTTGGCAGTAATAAATCAATCCTCTATAAACGTTGTTATAC